TGACCCCTTAAAATCATCACACACACAAACCCCACACACCCCACACCCCATCAGCCATAAATTATGTACGGTCCCAAGTAGAAAGAAAGGCTATACATGTGTATATAGTGAACATACATGTGGCTGCATGTGAAGTGCTTTCTATTTCAAAGAAGAATAGGTTACACAAACAAAAAGTACACACACAGTACACACACACACATGCACACGCACACACACACACACACACGCACGCACACACACACTACTCATAACAAGGTAAAGGTCGTCAGCATTTTGGATTTAGTCGCAACGGAAACCAGTCCTGACAGATGAATTTAGTCATATAGGATCTTCTGTAATTTCTTTCATCAGTGAATTTCCTTTTCGTCGGTGTGTCCAACTATAGAATCTCAATGAACTCAAGCTGACATCATTAATATCAGTGACCATCTGACCTGCCAAGTTTGGACCATGGAGTCTATTTACATATTACCAGCGGGTGACCGTTAACCCTACCGGTCTGTGCATTAGTAGATATACCATCAATAGTTGGTCTGTTTTGTGAGTGAGTGAGTAAATTGGGTTTAACGTTGCGTTTAGCAATAATCCCGCAATGTCACGGCGGGGACACCGAAATGGGCTTCACATTACACCCATGTGGGGAATCAAACCAGGGTCTTCAATGAGCGAACGCTTTCACCACGAGGCTACCCCACCGCACTGTGGTTTGGACTATATTGGCTCACTGTCGTTATGGTCATCGTCGTGTTTCCAGGTTCCACATTATCAGATCACATGTCATACTACTTCAGAATATAATAACTAACTCCGTTCTAAGGTAGGCTATATACTGTGCGATACGCGTCTGCTCTGAAAGTGTGTGGAGGCTGTTGGCCGGGCATGACCTGTATTGTCACGGGCGTGTGCAACTTATCTAAGGCGGCACTGAGGTTATTATTAGACATATCAACTTCATAAATATTCATGTTCGGATATTGAACCATATATAGAGATGGTGGTGGCGGGTGGGGTGAGCTGTGTTTGTTTGTCTGTTGTTTAACGCCGCACTCAGCAATATTCCAGCAACATTCTAGCAACAGGACGGCTGTTTGTGAATAATCTCGTCTCTACCAGACAACCTAGTGATCAACAGCATGATCGATCTACGCAATAGGGACACGATGACATGTGTCAACCAAGTCAGCGAGCTTGATCTCGACGAAAGCATGGGTTGCTGAAGATCAATTCGGATCTTCACCGGTGGAGGGTGAGCTCTGTGAATGAGTCGAACGCGAAAAGTAAATAAATTGTGACAGAACTTTTCAGTGATTTTTGTTTTCCATCACATTCAGAATTATTACAGGTGTGTCACGTTGGCCTTAAACAACTCGGTTCAGAAAAGAAAAGAAACATAAAAAACACAAGCCAAACAGTAGTGGATATTATACGAGCAACGTCGAACACTGACGAGGTACTGTGTCTCGTAATAATAAATCGACGTGCCTGGCCACAAATCAACATCTAGTCACCTCTCAGTCACATTCAATGATATAGTGCTGAGGACTAACCAGGGTTGACATTTGGGTTCGTGTTCTTCTGTTTTCCAAGTATTCCCAATGCCGGTCAAATCAAAGATGAACCATGTTGCTTGAAGTGAGATCTGAGTGAGTGAGTTAATAGAAACATGCTTGCTTCTAGATAGTGAGTTATAAATATCTGTCACCGAAGGGCTGAAAACAACTAGATTATCACAATAGAAATATAAAACTAGTACTTTAAATTTAAAATATCTTAACACTAGAAGACTATACAATATAAAAACAGGCGCTTGAAGTGAGTCTTAGACTGATCAATCAAAACCATGAAAGAGTAAAAGTGATCAAAGTGATCGATTGTCTCGTCGAAACTGCAGGTTCGATTCCCAACATGGAGTCATAGGATGGTTAAACCCGGCCTCTATTGTCCCCCGCCGCGATACAGCCAGCTTGTTGCCGGGAGCAGGGCAAAGCCATTCTCACTCCAAAACGTAGAATTCGCCTGTAATGAATATACGCCTTTATATAAACGTATTTGGGATTTGAATGGGCACTGAATGACAATCGGCCTGGTCAGTTCTCCATATTTCGATATTTTGATCGGCAAAACCTGATGTGTTTCTTGTTAAACGACGCCCTCAGCAATATTCCATCTGTATATGATGACGCCGGCGGTCTGAAGTCATGGTGTGTTTTTTTAATGAAGTCATGTTCTAAAATATAAACAGGGTTGGGTCATAAATATTATTACACGTATTCGCTTCTGTATTGGGGGAACGTCGGGGTTGTACGTTATACCACCTTATACATAGATAAGTCAAACAGCCTTATATGGGAATATCTGAGGTGGTGGAGTAGGGACTCGCACTGTAAAAAGAAGTGACGCGTCTGTATAGCTGGCTTGTGTAACGGAGGTCCTTGGGCACCCGTGAATGAATACAACACAGGGCAGAGTAATGACCCGAATGAGCCCCACTTTCTGAACTCTCTATGTCAGTGGAATTGGAGTTGTGCAATCGTGATATATACGTCATTGTACACTGTCAATCGAACATAGAGCTGCATTGAAATGGAAGGTTTTTATCTTCGTTATTTCTCCACCAACGTGCAGACAATACTACCCCAACCACAAATACCACCTCCACCCACCGTCAGTACTACCCCAACCACAAATACCACTTCCACCCACCCCACCACAAATCCCACCTCCACCCACCGTCATTACTACCCCACCACAAATACCACCTCCATCCACCGTCAGTACTACCCCACCACCAAATACCACCTCCACCCAATTACTACCCCACCACAAATACCACCTCCACCGTCAGTGCTACCCCCCCACAAAATACCACCTCCATCCACCGTCAGTGCTACCCCCACCACAAATACCACCTCCACCCACCGTCATTACTACCCCCACCACAAATACCACCTCCATCCACCGTCACCCCCCACCACAAATACCACCTCCATCCACCGTCAGTACTACCCCCACCACAAATACCACTTCCACCCACCGTCAGTACTACCCCCACCACAAATACCACCTCCATCCACCGTCAGTACTACCCCCACCACAAATACCACTTCCACCCACCGTCATTACTACCCCCACCACAAATACCACCTCCATCCACCGTCAGTACTACCCCACCACCAATACCGCCTCCATCCACCGTCAGTACTACCCCACCACAAATACCGCCTCCACCCACCGCCAGTGCTACCCCTACCACAAATACCACCTCCACCCACCGTCAGTACTACCCCCACCACAAATACCACTTCCACCCACCGTCATTACTACCCCCACCACAAATACCACCTCCATCCACCGTCAGTACTACCCCACCACCAATACCGCCTCCATCCACCGACAGTACTATTCCACCACAAATACCGCCTCCACCCACCGCCAGTGCTACCCCTACCACAAATACCACCTCCACCCACCGTCATTACTACCCCCACCACAAATACCGCCCCCATCCATCGTCAGTACTACCCCACCACCAATACCGCCTCCATCCACCGATAGTACTACCCCACCCCAAAATTCCGCCTCCACTCACCGTCAGTGCTACGCCTACCACAAATACCCCCTCCACCCATCGTCAGTACTACCCCACCACAAATGCCGCCTCCACTCACCGTCAGTGCTACCCCTACCACAAATACCACCTCCACCCATCGTCAGTACTACCCCCACCACAAATGCCGCCTCCACCCACCGTCAATATTGCCCCCACCACAATTACCGCCTCCACTCACAGGCAATACATCCCCTACGACAAATACTGCCTCCACCCACCGTCAGTACTACTAGTCTATACCCCCACCACAAATACCGCCTCCACTCGATCACCGTCAGAACTACGTACGGTACCCCACCACAAATACCGCCTCCACCGTCACGTACAACCCCCACCACAAATACCGCCTCCACCGTGAATATAGACTGACACATTTTCACAGAATGTATATATAGTTTTAATAGAAACAAATAATTCCTTTTAGGTTGAAAAGGAGCCCCTGTGAGAAGGTAGATTCAGAAAATGAGGAAATCTAGACTTGCTTCATTTTCAGAAAGTTCTGGGCGGAAGGGAATATAATGGTTCAGCAATTGTGAGACAGACTACCCTCAATGCTGACTTTCAGTTTTCTGTGTACTGACGACCTTTTCAACTCAGCGACTTGTGGGATAGGTTGACATACTCATATCTAAATACATACCCTTAGTCATAGATTTCTTATGTGTGAGTAAATGCTATTTATGCATAATGTGTATGAACACTTTATTGGCATTTTTTTCTTTTCATCAATCCAAATATGTTCTTTTCCCCTCTAATTGAAATCCCTTAAACTCCGTCTTGTCAGGTTTAGCTACCAACTCTGTGGATTCATGGGACTCGAGTATATTTGGCAATCAGTAGTGTGGTTAGCAAGACGAAACACCTCGTGTCTGGTATGGAGGTTATATACAGTAGTCATGTAACACGAAATGATGTACACGTACGTTAATTATTTGCTATGAGTTTAGTCTTTTACGATCCAGGAACGTGTTTTTGTCTGTGATCGGCATTCTGACATGGGTTTGAGAGATTTGTGTTAAATGTGTAAACTTTGTGTGTATAATACAAGGGTGAGCATGTGTAACTCGGAGGGGGGGTTGGCACCCTCATCTCTCCTACCTGCCTGTGTGCAGACGAAGTAGGGGACGCAACTCTTACAGTGAAAATCAAACATACATAGTATTTGTTTTCTTTCGGTCACTTTATATACTAAACAAACATTTTTCAGTTTTAAAGAATTGTATGAAGCCTATGTGCTATTCCTAACGCATTGGTGTATTCAGTCGATCAGTATATAATCACGCCTCCTTGGGTTAACTGCATGGCAGGATCGCGCGGACCTCGGTGTAGCCCCTCCGAATGACGACCTCCCCTCTATCGGTTGTGAAAGACTCGTCAGTGTTGCATGAGCATGTCACGGTGGTTTGAGGTCAGGTGTACTTACTTAGACCAATAATAACTACATCACATACAGACGGACAGTGGGATGGTCAACATCCTTTGACAGTGTCAGGATTTCTTGCAGATAGCCATTGTTCGTGTTTGTGATTGTTGATCGCGTTGATCACCGTGGACAGTGTTGCTAGTTGTTTTGTACGTACAGAATGAAATTGACAAACATGATCATCTGGTTGTATGTGATGTTGTTGTGTGGTTATGGTGTTGGGGGTATCAGTGACTATGTGAGCATGCTGACCCGGGGTCTACATCCCCTCCCCAAGCCTGATCTATCCTCGGGGGTGAAGGAGTCAATGCAGACCCTGAGACGGGCAGATATTACCCAAGTTGCCAGAATGATTCAGGATTCCCATGTGCTGCGTCCCCAGGGTGGGCTACTGACAGGCCCCCCAGGCCGTGGGAGCTAACGGTAACATCTCCACAAAGTGCGCGGACCAAACTGCCAAGGTATTGGAAGCTTTGCTGGCTGGTGAACAATGGGCATTACAGAGTAAGTATAGAAAAAACAACATAGGTTCAAATAGTTCATACTCGTTCCCAATATTGTGAAAAATATGTTATGTAATGAAAATGGTCCACATACACATTTCATAAAAATCGGCTCATTTTGAGCTTTATTGCATATATAAAGTTAACTATGGTTATAATTAACTCTAAGGGCCGCCTAATTTTAGTTCGTTAAAATTGTAGTTCGTTACATACATGTCCACAAAAATGATTATACAGCGTCAGGAACCAAAACAACAGCTATTTTAGTTGTGTCTGTCAGTCCATTATGAGTGTGTTAACATTACAAACGGGATCAGGTGATCAGGCTCGCAGACTTGGTTGACACAGGTCATCATATCCCAATTGCTTAAAAATATTGATGCTCATGTTATTGATCACTGGATTGTCTGGTCCAGACCCAATTATTTACAGACCACCGCCATGTAGCTGGAATATTACTCAGTACATGCAGTATTAAACAATAAACAAATATGTACTATCACACACTGTTGAGTGAGTATTGTTTTACGCCTCTATTAGTATAAATCCAGCAATAATCATGGCAGAACAGAACAGAAACAGACATCACACATATGTATATCTTTATATGTGGTGAACTGAACCAGAGTTGGGGTGACAAGCAAACACTTTCGCTGCTAGGCTAGTCCACTGCCCCTATCTGAATGAGTCCCCATGCCCAAACATGTTGATCTATGGCAGATTCTACAAATTGGACTGATAGATATTTGAGCCAGTACCATTATCATCTTTCATGCACATTAAGTTGTTTTTAAAATATTCAAATCAAAAAGTCTAATGCACAGTCACCTTCTATATCACATGGCCACAAGACGTTTATTATCATATGTTCATCCTTTTTTTATTTAAGAAATACAGTTCGCTCTACCACCATGTATAGTGTAATAATGCACACTTTCGCCCTGAACTATTATAGTTAAAGTACGAGGATGCTTGCGTTATAATAGTTCAGGGCGAAAGTGTGCTTTATTACACTATACATGGTGGTAGAGTGAACTGTATTTCTTTTCTAAGTTGCCAAATTTAATACTTTCTAAGGACAATTACTATTAATCTAAGGTAGAAAACAAACGATGGTGTCGGTGACCTAAATTAAGAATCCTTGCACAGGGATAAACAGTTTGATGACGGTTTACGTTCGGATTAAATATCTTCTCTAAAATATTTTAATTACGTCTGTGATTAACGTAAACCATATGCGGCAATATGAACGTTGCATTTTTACTACCAACGTATTTATTTTAGCTTATTTTGTGTAGGATGGTAGTTTAGATGGTACTTAAAGGGTCGGGGGAAGATATAGTTGTAGGACGGAGTAGGATTTATTTTGTAGGAATATAGTAATTAGGATATTTAGTTTTGACTTATAAGGACATTTGTGTGTGTGAGAGAGTGATGAATCTATTTTGTTAAGTTTGGCTCAGTTTGATTTGTAAGAAAGTAAATAGTATTTTGTTGGTAACTCTTGAGTTGTGGTGTCATTTCTCTGGGTTATACCTTCAACCGCCATAGGACCATCACTAAGGTTTATAGAAAGGTTACAGTTTCTCAGATCTATAAAAAATTACACACCACGAAGTCCATTACAGAGACCGTATAAGATTATTGAACCTTTGTACCATATAAACCTTCCTGTTACTGGGCGACCTACCTTGACGGAGGCGCCTATTACAATAATGTCTTTCTATCCTGACTGCGTAGATTGATTGTAGATTGTAAATCACTGAATTGTCTGGTCCAGACTTGATTATTTATAGACCTCCTTCATAGATGTAATATTGCTTATTGCGGCGTTGAAGAACAACCAACCAGAAAAAAAGTGTAAAATAGCTTGACACTAGGGCTGGGACGGGTACTCGGGTACTCGAATCCAGGTCGGGTACAGCTGGAATCGAGTACTATTTCTAGGAATCGAGTACTCGGAAAAGGAGAGAACTCTGTAATGGCAAGGGTACATAATAACTTGTCTTTTTCATTATTGACATAACACACATTTGAATCACTGGTATTGTCCGATTAATGGAGGTCATTATTAATGACTGTATATATGTGAGCATGAGCAGTGAGGAGTCAAGTTACAGTAACAGTGGTAACGAAAAGTCCTGTGTTTTAACGAGTAATGCATGTAATGGTGTTACTCTCTATATTTGTTAAACCGACGTAAATGAAATAGCCTACGTTCAGTTTCAGTGTCTTATTGCCATCCTTTCAAGGTTTGTATAAAAATATCTGTCAACTCGTGATTGAATATTCAGAAAGTTGACAGAAGCTCTTTAATCCTTACATTTCCGGGTACTCGATTCCGATTCGGGTAAGTACATGCGGGTACTTGATTCCAATTTTTCCTACCCGTCCCAGCCCTACTTGACACCATATTTTCTGTCTTCAGACTGACGTTGGACAGGTTTTTTTACCTGACATCTTTTTTCATATTTACATTTTAGTTTAGACAGATTTTATTATTACCCATAAAGGGAGGGATAATTTTGTTTGTGTGCGTCGCTAATCCAGGTCAGTTGAACATCACTGTTAAATCAGGGTTTATCCTTAATCTTATCATCTCATGTAGAGGTGTGCTATTGCATGCCTGAAACCTTTTTTCTGAGCCGAAGGAACATTATAGGCTGGTTAATCACCTAGCGTTTATTGTATAACACTCTTACTTCATATTGTTTAAGTTGATACAATGGGATAGAGTAAGAAAAACGACCCCCTGTGGCCACTGATATCAACATTAAAGTCAAAAGCACAGGCTTTCACTAGATTACTGGCCAAGCTTGTAACACTAGGGTCAGTAAGTGTAGGTGAGGTTTATGCATTATGCATGGGCTGTTAAATGATATCATGTACATATTTCCCCTCCATGATATCATGGTGCACAATGATATACAACAAATCTTTTATGTCTACAACTTGTACAACATTTGTATAAATCATTTGGACTGTTTCTGTTCAAGGATAATTGCAATGTGATCGGTGGGAAACATATAATGAACATTATACCATGAGGGTGCATTATTGCATCATTGCGTGAAGCATATTAAATAGTGTGATGGGGTTAGTGCGCTCCACCGATGATATGGACTGAGTGATCTGTGCTAGGGCACTCACATATACAAGTGAACTGTTGAACTCATGATGTATGAAACATTATTATTTCTTAAATTGTAATTCTAACTTTTGCCCAACTTAAAACAATCATGAAAATTATACTGGGTAAATATGGTCTTACGCCGATTTAAGCAATATTCCAGCAATATCACGGCGGGAGACACCAGAAATGGGCTTCACACATTGTACCAATGTGGAGAATCGAACCTGGGACTTTGGCATAATGAGTATACACTTTAACCACTAGGCTACCCCACCACCCCCATGAATATTATAAAGACTGAAGCCACATCTAGAAACAATTTCTATCTCTCCTTACTATAGAGTAATAACTAGCTGTCAATGGATCCAGTGATTTTACTGATGGATCTAATGTGTTTCAGCAAAATATACGACATCAAATTCAGAGATATCATCAGTGATTTGGATTTATGTATGTCTCAATCTTCCTTATATTTGAACTGAATATTGTGAGTCTCCTTGACAGCTATTTGAAACATACATAATGAGCATTCATACAATGTTGGCCTACAACAGTTAACAGGAAATACCTTTTTCTAAGTTTATTATCTCATGAAATATTCACCCATTCATCTACCAATAACATACAGGTGGTGTGAGGTGAAATTGGGTTTAACGTCGTGCTTGAGAATATTTCGCTCATATGACGACGTGCATGCGTGTGTATGTGTACGTGGGGCTGCTTGTACTAGCCCAGACTGAAGCTTGTTTTATAGTGCTAGCCCACTGTGATACTATGCCGCAGTGAAGCATGAATACCCCACTCAGACACATTATACTGACTCCGAGCCGACCAGTCCTTGTTGTACCCATTAATGCCGAGCGCCAGGCAGGGACCAACAAGTACCATATTTTAACGTCTTTTGGTATGACGTGGTCGGGGATCGAACCCGCGACCTTCTGCTCTCCGGGCGGACGCTCTAACCACTACACCACGGAGGCGGTAATAACATACAGTATTATTACAGTGATATATAGGCTACAAAGAAATATTTCCAATTTAAACTTATATCACTGTTGTGGTACAGAGAGTAATAAACAACATGTTGCGGCCATAAGAAAACATTGTGGGTGAAGACATTTAGAAAATGAACAGACGAAAAAGGCGAGTTGATTTAATCTTTTCTATGGGAACAAAGTTGCCATCCTTTATGAGTGAAAGGTTATAAATGCGCATATATATGGATCAGTTTTCGATCACGGACGATGGGTAAAATGAAGTCACCAATTCTGGTTATTTATCTTGTCAATATAAATGCGTCAACAGTTCTGAAACATTCTGGAGTTTTCGGACACATCATGAACTCCTTTCTGAAACATCCTGGACCTATTTGGCATTTAAAGGCACAATGTCACTAGGTGAGGTGAGGTGAAATTGGGCTTTACGTCGTGCTTGAGAATATTTCGCTCATATGACGACGTGCATGCATGTACTAGCCCAGACTGAAGCTGTTTTTTTGTGCTAGCCCACTGAGATACCATGCCGCAGTGAAGCATGAATACCCCACTCAGACACATTATACTGATTCCGAGCCGACCAGTCCTTGTTGAACCCATTAATGCCGAGCGCCAGGCAGGGACCAACAAGTACCATATTTTAACGTCTTTTTGGTATGACGCGGTCGGGGATGGAACCCACGACTTTCCGCTCTCCTGGCGGACGCTCTGACCACTACACCACGGAGGCGGTCTCAATGTCACTAGGGCTGGGACGGGTCCAAATTTTCTACCCGGGTACCCCACCTCCCATTACCCTACCCTACCCAGATACCTGTTATGTTAATTCCTGACAACCGACATCAAATTTGCAAGAAATGGCAAATATATTCTTCAGCTTGGAGGCTACAATTTCGAGTTTTTTCAATATGTTAACCATGTACTATATAAAATATATGTAAAAGAAGAGACTGTTACATAATAATGTAAATTATGTTTCAATCATCAAAGACAATACAACATTTTAATCTTGAAAGAATAACATATTCATCGTTTATTCTATTAGTCACATGATCATAACGGGTCCGAGTATTGAGACAGGTACCCGGGTCCAACTCATTACCCACCCGTCCCGGGTATCCGGAGTACCCGTCCCAGCCCTAAATGTCACACATTTTCGACAATATTTTGGCCTATATTATATATATAGCTTCCTGTTAATGCAATAAAAGACTTATTATCCCTTACGACTGGCCTGAAATCGATAATTGAAACTTTGAAGTGAACAGCTTCCAAACAGAGAACATTTGCCATATATGGAATGTAAACGATTGCTCAGTACATCAAAAACTGTCGCACGCGGTGTTGTCGTTGTTTGCCAAACTGGTTTCAATCACAAGTTGTGCGTAGGATATTCATAAAGAGCGCTCCAAGGTACATACCTCTGTGGGGTTCACTTAAAATAATGTTCGTCCGGTAGAGAGCGCTACAGTCGATTTAATGCAACGTTGCATTAATTCATTCGAACTTTTTTGATTTAATATTGTAATCTAAATACATATATATCTTCTTAAAATAAATTATGTAGTAGCTTCCTTGAGGGCTGATAGTATTATTGAGAGAAATGCATTATTTATTTTCGGAGAAGTGTGGTGTGAAATAGTGCCTTGAAGTATATGACCTGCAAAAGGTCAAAAGCACCAAGTGACAAACAAACTGTGTATCATGCTGCTGTTTCCTTGCTACAATTCAGGAAAGTGGGGACTATTATGTGAAGGCCAGGCTGTCTGATGGCAGGTCACACATTTACTCTAGGCTCTCCACAGAAAATGTGTAACATGGTTTTACTGTGACTTACAAAAGTAGGGGATCCAGGGTACCCATATCAATCAATTTTACGGGTCTTTGCTGGTAATATGAGGGTATTGTAAAGTATAGAAATGTTGTTGTGTACGTTCAGAGCCTGGTATGAATCAATGGTCATGTGGGCCATGGCCATGACTGCTGGGTGAATGACAGACACAGATAACTACTCCTTGATACACTGTAGGTACGCTCTGGGTAGTTTTTTGTGTCTCCCCGGAAGCAGTATTGGGGGTTTTCTGCACCCATACTCCACAATTGTGCACACTGGACACACATTTGTGTGTTACGTAAAACCCGGGTGTAATGCTGGTTGGTGTTATGATCAGAAGAAATGTTTGTTACAAAATAAAAAATGACTTGCGGGGATGTGGTTCTTTTTGATAAATAATTAATAGTTCTAGTTCTTGAAATGCAGGAAATTAATAGACAGAAAACACACTGAACATGTTCAGATTTCTTAATTTAGTTTTAACAGGTTAAACATTTTTAATTCTTAAAAAGAATACTGTATGTCACATTTTTTTAACTTTGGTAGATTGATGGACATGAAGCATGTATGCTCACTTCAACTCACACGCTCATACACATACGTTTAACTTATTGAGTGGTAACCAAGGTAACATGAATGTTCCCTACACAAAGTGTTACCATGGTAACATGTATTCTCCAAGTTGGATGATATCACTTCTGAGTGTGGTAACCATTGTAAAATATATGCCATATCTACCCTGGGTGTAAGATATGTGTCTTCGTTTATGGTGTAACCTTGGTAACATGTATGTATTGAACTTACCTACTTCTAGGAAAGTAACCAATTACTAACCATATTAATGTGTATTCTCTGAAAGTCCCTACCATCATTGTGAAACATGTCTTCTCGTAGGTAACTATGGTAACATGTATGCTCTCTCTACCCTGAGTTTTGGGATGGTAACCATGGTAACACATATTCTCTCTCTATCCCCAGTGATTGATGCAGCAGGGAAGCCAAGCAGTGGACTACTTCAGTTGAACCTCAACTTCTTGGGATCATACGATGAGTGTTTGGGGGTCAAGGCCACGGAGACAATCAACAATGTCACAGAACCGATCTTCAATGGGAAATACTGCAAAGCCAGCATCCCTCTTCAGCCCGGTTCCCCAGTGAGAATAAATTGTTAAAAGTCACCAGCGATGTGAAATATCAGGGCGTAGCTACCATTATATAAAAAAGCCCGGGCTTACACATGATTTTTGCTAAAAGGTTGGGCAAGCCCTCAATACTATCTAAATATAAAGCCTTTCAACCTATCGGGCGTACACGAAAAAACTGGCTTGCTACGCGCCTGAATATGTTGATTTATTTCAGCTTTTTTTTTCATCTTTGTTTAAAAGTATTTCTCCGATATTTATGGACAATCGATTGATACTAGTCAACTATTATCCGTCTCTGTTGTCTACATCAATAGCGGCGGGCAGACCTACCGTCAGTTGCTAGTCATTAAGATAATTATATATAATACAGTATAGTGTATCATATGTTATATATCCATTCATGGATATTTCATTTGTTTGGTTAATATAATATGTTCAGCATTAAGGTTGTGAATAGATGCTTTGACTTTCAAACTTAATCCAGAACACTGGTCGTCACCTTTGATAAGGAAGCATACACTCTCTGTTGTTAATACACGATCAAGTTTAGAGAAGTAGAATATACAACAGATAAGCCTGTTTGTCAATAAATAAACTTTGTGTGGAGTGTGTATGTTAGATCCGACGTCATCTTAAACCCGTGGAAATCCTGGTTAGATTGGTCTTCAGCAACCCATACTTGTCATAAGAGGCAACTAATGGGATCGGGTGGTCGCTGACTTGGTTGACATCATACCCTGATAGTGTAGATCAATCACCAAATTTGCAGGGGCTTTATGTAGCTCGGGCAGTTCGACTGGTACCCATGATATATATTATCAAAATCAGTAAGAGATTTCACATGAGCTTGAAATTTTTCGTTCGTTCTTTTCGGTTTGGAGCCCTAAATGCTGCTGTCTTCCCGAAACATTGTTGAATACAACGGCAAATCATTAAGTACTTTTTTCTTTCATTGTTTTCCATTTTGTCCAGTTACGCACGTCGTCATCAGACTCACTATATGCCAGAAGTGTGTGCAGTGAAAGTTGTTCTGTACTTTCATTGGCTGACAAGATGTCATTCTAAGTCTATGACCAAATACCATTACTATTTCCATAACCACAAACTAGGTAAACATTCATTGTCCAGACTAGTATTTTATACTAGTCCAGTTTTCGGGGGAATAACTTATCTGCGTGGCGTATATTATCTCTGCTCGACCAGGCTGGGATCTTGTATGGCAACTTGATACTAGGATCCTAATTTTTTTCAACAAAATAATTCCAGTGTAACTTTTGTAGCAGATAATTTCTATTTTCTCCCGTCTGAAGCATAATTATTATATTTCTAAATCCCAGACACCTAGTCTGTCGAACAGACCCTGAAGCAAATATATCCAAGAAAGCCCACACAAGTCTAGAAACTGTGGCAAGTCTAGATATTCCTCAGCTTCAGGAAAATGAAGAAAGTCTCAGGGCTCCTTTTCATTATATTATATTTTATTTTACTATGAACTTTTTTCAGTAAAATATGTTCATTTCAGAGACTAGTTGTTAGTCTACCAGACACCCTACAGTCACCTATTTGACACAAAAGGAATTGCAATCATATTTCAAAAAAATATTTTCTTAGGGACTGGTCATTTATTTAGAGGCGTGGGTTTCCTGGTTGGAACTGTATCATATTTTGCTGACAAATAGTATTCTTGTTAAATGATATGGTCTATTTTAAAAATTATTTTGACATCAAGCGGTGCCTCCATTTCACTTGATTCTTCTTCTTCATCTTCACTGGAAGATTGTCTTGCAAGATGTAAAATCGGATCGTATTGATACGGTCTAACATCCATTTCAGAACACTGGGCACTGTTAAGTTGTGAGGTAAAATCAAAGAGGAAGGCATCAGCAACAGGCAAATATGACGTCATGTCACGTGATACCCCCTCTGCTCATTAACTGTCGGGTGTTTCCATAATAGGCGGAAATACGAGTACATTTTTGAGTTTTTAATGCGATTTTACAAATTTTTGTTCAGTTTTAATCGAGGAAGGTGACTTTTAGAATGCCTTTGCCACTATGAAAAGTTTTGTTTTCGTTCCTTTAACAGGCTCCAGCTCCAAATACTCCATCATTCTCTGACATCACCATTGGACTTTGCTTCCCCAACTCCTGTAGTGGCGAAGATGTAACATTGATTCTCAATAACAGTAAGTATATCTACATTTAGCCAGGCTGTTTAAATGTTTAGCTTTTAATTTTAAGTCTCCAACTGTCACAGGATTGTCGAGAGTCAAGGCCCGTCCGACCGCCCGAGACGGGTTAGATTTCAGACGGACGGTCTAGATTTACAGCTAGCCAGCCCAATGGTCTGGTAAAAAATTTAGATGTTATATACATCTGAGTCGTATCTTGGTATCTGGTCTGCTTAAATCCATTTGGGACTGGTAACATTTTAAGTTACCAGCCCTGATGTCTGGCTGGGGTTTGGGCTTATTTCATACACTGGAATTATACATTGTTTTGTCTTCATTCAACTGTAACCAGTGATTTAGTGGGATATTGGTAGGCTTAGAGATGCAACTCTATCGATGAATTGGAGAGTCTCCCTTTAGTGTTCAAATGGGTGCTTGTTATGTTTCTCTTCCAGTAGTGTTGAGCAGGTGCTTGATATGTTTCTCCCTGCAGTGTTGGAGCAGGTGCTTGTTGTGTTTCTTTACCAGTGGTGTTAGAGAGGCTGCTTGTTATGTCTGTCACTCTGCAGTATTGGAGCAGATGCTTTTTATGTTTGTCTCACTGCAGTGCTAGAGCAGGCGCCTGTTATGTGTGCCTCAATGCAGTGTTAGAGCAGATGCTTGATATGTTTCTCCCTGCAGTGTTGGAACAGGTGCTTGATATGTTTGTCTCACTGTAGTGTTAGAACTAGTGCACATGTTGTTATGTTTGTCTCACTGAAGTGTTGGAGCAGGTGCTTGTTATGTTATCTCATTGTAGTGTTGGAGCAGGTGCTTGTTATGTTTGTCTCCCTGCAGTATGGGAGCAGGTGCTTGTTATGTTTGTCTCACTGTAGTTTTGGAGCAGGTGCTTGTTATGTTTGTCTCGATGTAGTGTTGGAGCAGGTGCCTGTTATGTTTGTCTCACTGTAGTGTTAGAACTAGTGCACATGTTTGTTATGTTTGTCTCACTGAAGTGTTGGATCAGGTGCTCGTTGTGTTTGTCTCACTGTAGTGTTGGATCAGGTGCTTGTTATGTTTGTCTCACTGTAGTGTTGGATCAGGTGCTTGTTATGTTTGTCTCACTGTAGTGTTGGATCAGGTGCTTGTTATGTTTGTCTCACTGTAGTGTTGGATCAGGTGCTTGTTATGTTTGTCTCACTGTAGTGTTGGATCAGGTGCTTGTTATGTTTGTCTCACTGTAGTGTTGGAGCAGGTGCTTGTTATGTTTGTCTCACTGTAGTGTTGGATCAGGTGCTTGTTATGTTTGTCTCACTGTAGTGTTGGAGCAGGTGCTTGTTATGTTTGTCTCACTGTAGTGTTGGATCAGGTGCTTGTTATGTTTGTCTCACTGTAGTGTTGGAGCAGGTGCCTGTTATGTTTGTCTCACTGTAGTGTTAGAACTAGTGCACATGTTTGTTATGTTTGTCTCACTGAAGTGTTGGATCAGGTGCTCGTTGTGTTTGTCTCACTGTAGTGTTGGAGCAGGTGCTTGTTATGTTTGTCTCACTGTAGTGTTGGATCAGGTGCTTGTTATGTTTGTCTCACTGTAGTGTTGGAGCAGGTGCTTGTTATGTTTGTCTCACTGTAGTGTTGGAGCAGGTGCTTGTTATGTTTGTCTCACTGTAGTGTTGGAGCAGGTGCTTGTTATGTTTGTCTCACTGTAGTGTTGGAGCAGGTGCTTGTTATGTTTGTCTCACTGTAGTGTTGGAGCAGGTGCTTGTTATGTTTGTCTCACTGTAGTGTTGGATCAGGTGCTTGTTATGTTTGTCTCACTGTAGTGTTGGAGCAGGTGCTTGTTATGTTTGTCTCACTGTAGTGTTAGAAACTAGTGCACATGTTTGTTATGTTTGTCTCACTGAAGTGTTGGATCAGGTGCTTGTTGTGTTTGTCTCACTGTAGTGTTGGAGCAGGTGCTTGTTATGTTTGTCTCACTGTAGTGTTGGATCAGGTGCTTGTTATGTTTGTCTCCACTGTAGTGTTGGATCAGGTGCTTGTTATGTTTGTCTCACTGTAGTGTTGGAGCAGGTGCCTGTTATGTTTGTCTCACTGTAGTGTTGTTTGTTATGTTTGTCTCACTGAAGTGTTGGATCAGGTGCTTGTTATGTTTGTCTCACTGTAGTGTTGGAGCAGGTGCTTGTTATGTTTGTCTCACTGTAGGGTTGGAGCAGGTGCTTGTTATGTTTGTCTCACTGTAGTGTTGGATCAGGTGCTTGTTATGTTTATCTCATTGTAGTGTTGGAGCAGGTGCTTGTTGTGTTTATCTCACTGTAGTGTTGGATCAGGTGCTTGTTATGTTTGTCTCACTGTAGTGTTGGAGCAGGTGCTTGTTATGTTTGTCTCACTGTAGTGTTGGATCAGGTGCTTGTTATGTTTGTCTCACTGCAGTGTTGGAGCAGGTGCTTGTTATGTTTGTCTCACTGCAGTGTTGGAGCAGGTGCTTGTTATGTTTATCTCACTGTAGTGTTGGAGCAGGTGCTTGTTATGTTTGTCTTCCTGCAGTGTTGGAGCAGGTGCTTGTTATGTTTGTCTCACTGTTGTGTTGGAGCAGGTGCTTGTTATATTTGTCTTCCTGCAATGTTGGAGCAGGTGCTTGTTATGTTTGTCTTCCTACAGTGTTGGATCTGGTGCTTGTTATGTTTGTCTTCCTGCAGTGTTGGAGCAGGTGCTTGTTATATTTGTCTTCCTGCAATGTTGGAGCAGGTGCTTGTTATGTTTGTCTCCCTGCAGTGTAGGATCAATTGCTTGTTATGTTTGTCTTCCTGCAGTGTTGGATCTGGTGCTTGAGCAGCTGAACATCACCACACAGTTCAAGGTCAAGCGCTCCGTGTGCCAGGAGGAGAACCTGGAGTGGGACACTAAAGCCATCGCTGTCTTGTGAGTTGATCTGAGCACACCAGTAACTTACCTGCGTCTTTCTATCCCGAGGGATGATGTGAAGGTCTTGAGATGAACATTAAGGTACCAGGATGACCTGCTGTTCATTAGAACGATTGTTTTGGGGGTGGCTCTGTAATGGTGTGGGATGGGATCACTGTGACTGGCAGAACACGGACATGTCACTGGTCAGCGCTACCATGACAGGATCCTGAAGGCACATGAGGTGCCATTTGTGCGTCAACATAGACACCGTTTTGTGTTTCAAGATGACAATACAAGAGCATGCAGGGCTTGTATTGTTGTGGTATACTGCTAACAGGAAAACATGCCAACTTCTCTACTACCGGTATAAATATCAAGACATTTTCGTGTACATTCTTATGTCTCTCCCCTCCAGGGTTGCCTGGTTTGAAACAAACTTAGTGACCCAGTGAATCCGATCAGAGGGTGAGTTGCATGTGCATGCAACCATTGCTGAAACTGATTTGGTTTGAATGATTCAACCATATTGTTCTGTTGTTGAGCATGCAGCACACGCAGTTATCAACAGAAGGACCTGTGAGGTGAGGTGAAATTGGGTTTAATGTTGTGCTTGAGAATATTTCGCTCATATGCCGACGTGCATGCGTGTGTATGTGTATGTGCGGCTGCTTGTACTAGCCCAGACTTAAGCTGGTTTTATAGTGCTAGCCCACTGAGATACCATGCCACAGTGAAGCATGAATACCCCACTCAGACACATTTTACTGACTCGAGCCGACCAGTCCTTGTTGTACCCATTAATGCCGAGCGCCAGGCAGGGACCAACAAGTACCATATTTTAACGTCTTTTGGTATGACGCGGTCTGGGATCGAACCCGCGACCTTCTGCACTCCGGGCGGACGCTCTAACCACTACACCACGGAGGCGGTCAGAAGGACCTGTACTTTCATGTTACCAGTACATACTAGCATGCTTGTCTTGGCAATGCTTCTGTACATGTCAGTTTGGAGCATGAGTGAGTATAGTTTTAGCTTCCTTTAGAAATATTACAGCAATGTCATGGTGGGGGATACTAGAAATGGGCTTCACACATTGTACCCATGTGGGGAGTCGAACCTGGTCTTCAGCGTGATGGAATGCTTTCACCAATAGGCTAACCTACTAATCTGTCAATTTGGGAACAAGAAGGCAATGTGACCTTTCTTTTCTAAACTGATAAATTACCAAGGCATGAAGGAATTCTGGTTCAGGGAAAGGTATTGCTCCATGCATATGTAATATTTGTTTTACTGTTTTGTTTCCAGTGTGGTGGCAATGGTGTTTCTTGCGCTAATGGTGATTGGCACAATCTATGACATCGTCATTATCCAGCTTCCACGCTGGTACGTGTTGGCTGCTGAGGCAAATGGTTTGTTGAATGGAGCTGACACTTACACATCACTGAACATCAAGCATAGACAAGAGGAGACAACTCCACTGATTGGCGACACAGGGAAACCAGAGTTTAGCCAGCCTCAACCAAGTATGTATTAGTAGAAGACAGTCTTTACCAAGTTTGATTCTTATTGACCTGTTCAAGAGGACTTGTTAGAATATACACACTATGCCCTTGTTAGTATGTACACTGTGCCCTTGTTAAAATCTAATAAAATATGTTTATGCTTGGATGTATACAGCATTCCTTGTCATCAAGTATAATATATATGTACAGCATGTCCTTGTTATGTATACACATCTATACACATATACACACATGTCCTTGTAGGTCTTTGTGGCAAGATCCTGTTATCGTTCTCTGTGTACACGAACGCCTCCAAGCTGCTGAGCACCAAACAGTCAGCTGGAAGTCTCACCGCCATCAACGGTATCCGCTTCCTCTCCATGACATGGGTAATCCTGGGGCACACCTATGTCTTTGGTCTGTCAAGTGTAGGTGAGTCTGGATGTGTAACATAAGAAACCAATGAACCAATAACCAGTTGAGTGTTTCAGCAATGTTTGTTATAAGAGTTGGTTCTCTCATCACCCCATTTCTTTGTCTTGGGCACTAGGTTAAAATGTATAGTTTCTCTACATTTGAAGATTCATGGATCAGATGGAGCCAGTGGAGACTCAATATCCAGGGCCAATATCAACCCTAATGCAAATATAATTCAATGGTGCCAATATCAATCCATATAGATATAGTTATATGGTAATATAGATATTATTCTGTAGAGTCGATGCAACTCTGTAATGCCAATTTCGCACCAGGGTATCAATATCATTCCATATCGTCAATATCATTCCATATCGTCAATATCATTCCATATCGTCAACATCATTCCATATCGTCAACATCATTCCATATCATTCAATATCATTCCATATCGATCATTCCCAAGATCATTCCATATCGGTTTTATTCCATATCATCATTCCATATCATCAATATCATTCCATATCGTCAACATCATTCCATATCGTCAACATCAATATCATTTCCATATCTGCAACATCAATATCGTCATATCATTCCATATCGTCAACATCATTCCATATCGTCAACATCATTCCATATCATCAATATCCATATCGTCAATATCATTCCATATCGTCAACATCATTCCATATCGTCAACATCATTCCATATCGTCAACATCATTCCATATCGTCAATATCGTCAACATCATCATTCCATATTCCATATCGTCAATTTTGTTCCATATCAATATTCCATATCGTCAACATCATTCCATATCGTCAACATCATTCCATATCGGCAATTTTATTCCATATCGTATCATTCCATATCAACATCATTCCATATCATTTCCTATCAATATCGTCAATATTCCATATCGTCAACATCATTCCATATCAATATCATTCCATATCGTCAACATCATTCCATATCGGCAACATCATTCCATATCATCATTCCATATCGGTTTTATCATTCCATATCGTCATTTCCTATCGCAATATTATTATTGTCAACATCATTCCATATCGTCAACATCATTCCATATCGTCAACATCATTCCATATCGTCAATATTATTCCATATCGTCAATATCATTCCATATCGTCAACATCATTCCATATCGTCAATATCATTCCATAGGTTTTTATTTCATGCAATATTATTCCCTGGTACTGTAGCAACCATAAAATTTCCGATCCCCGTCCTGGGATTTGAACCACAGACCTTCTGATCCGAAGTCGGATGCATAGTCCGCATGACCTAAGAGGTTAACCTCTGACAAGGTAAGGATGTCATCTGTGGGATGACTCCATGCCCTGCTACATTACCACATCATAGTGCCAATATACCACATCTTAGTGCCAATATACCATATCTTAGTGCCAATATCATACCACAGTGTTGGTATATTTCCATAGTGCCAGTACCATATCTTACTGTCAATATACCACATCTTAGTGCCAATATCATACCACAGTGTTGGTATATTCCCATCATGACAGTATCATTCCATAGTGCCAATATGAGTATGTGGTGCTGATATTCTACACAAGTATCATCATTGTGTGACTGTTTGACATCGTTTACAGACAACTTCATCAGCTACTTCCCGGATGTCATAAAGCGCTTCACCTTCCAGGCCATTATCAATGCTACCGTGTCTGTCGACTCCTTCTTCACTCTGAGGTCAGTGCTAAATATGTTTGTCTCTTGTTTTTTTTCACTCTATTCTGAAAAATATTTCAGCCAAAGAATTATCAAATGAGGCGCAAACATGACATTAAAAATGTGTTGGTCAAGTGACATGACATTAAAACATGTTGGTCAAGTGACACGACCGTAGGACATCCTGGTCTAGTGACATGACATTAAAACATGTTGGTCAAGTGACATGACATTGAAACATGTTGGTCAAGTGACATGACATTAACACATGTTGGACATGACATTAACACATGCTGGTCAGGACATGACATCCTGGTCTAAAGTGACATGACATTAAAACATGTTGGTCAAGTGACATGACATTAACACATGTTGGTCAAGTGACATGACATTAACACATGTTGTCAAGTGACATGACATTAACACATGTTGGTCAAGTGACATGACATTAACACATGTTGGTCATGACATTAACACATGACATGACATTAACACATGTTGGTCAAGTGACATGACATTAAAACATGTTGGTCAAGTGACATGACATTACCAACATGCGTAACATGAAATGACATTAAAATGGTCAGGTGACATGACATTAACACATGTTGGTCAAGTGACATGACATTAACACATGTTGGTCAAGTGACATGACATTAACACATGTTGGTCAAGTGACATGACATTAAACATGTTGGTCAAGTGACATGACATTAAAACATGTTGGTCAAGTGACATGACATTAACACATGCTGGTCAGGTGACATTACATTAACACATGTTGGTCAAGTGACATGACATTAAAACATGTTGGTCAAGTGACATGACATTAACACATGTTGGTCAAGTGACATGACATTAACACATGTTGGTCAAGTGACATGACATTAACACATGTTGGTCAAGTGACATGACATTAACACATGTTGGTCAAGTGACATGACATTAACACATGTTGGTCAAGTGACATGACATTAACACATGTTGGTCAAGTGACATGACATTAACACATGTTGGTCAACAGGACATTGAAACATGTTGGTCAAGTGACATGACATTAAAACATGCTGGTTAAGTGACATGGCATTAAAACATGTTGGTCAAGTGACATGACATTGAAACATGTTGGTCAAGTGACATGACATTAACACATGTTGGTCAAGTGACATGACATTAAAACATGTTGGTCAAGTGACATGACATTAACACATGTTGGTCAAGTGACATGACATCAAAACATGTTGGTCAAGTGACATGTTGAAACATGTTGGTCAAGTGACATCCACATTAACACAAGTGACATGACATTAAAACATGTTGGTCAAGTGACTTGACAGTACAACTTGTTGGTTGAGTGACTTGATAATACAACTTGATGGTTGAGTGACATAACATTGATGGTTGAAATAACATTCGTTTGGTCATGTAACATGACATGAGTAAGTGAGTTTGCTTTTTTATGCCACTTTTAGCAATATTCCAGCAATGTCATGGTGGGGACACCAGAAATGAGCTTCACACATTGTACCCATGTGGGAATCGATCGAGTGTTTGGCATGGCGAGCAAGCGCATTAACCACTAAAGCTAGCCACTGCGCCCATAACATGACATGATAATATGTTGGTCAAGTGACTTGACATTAAAACATGCTGGTCAAGTGACATTACATTAACACATGTTGGTCAAGTGACATGACATCAAAACATGTTGGTCAAGTGACATCACATTAACACATGTTGGTGAAGTGACATGACATTAACACATGTTGGTCAGGTGACATGACATTGAAACATGTTGGTCAATTCACATGACATTAATACAAGTTGGTCAAGTGTCATGACATTAATGTGTGAAGCTCATTTCTGGTGTCAGGTGACATGACATTAACACATGTTGGTCAAGTGACATGACATTAACACATGTTGGTCAAGTGACATGACATTAACACATGTTGGTCAAGTGACAGGACATTGAAACATGTTGGTCAAGTGACATGACATTAAAACATGCTGGTTAAGTGACATGGCATTAAAACATGTTGGTCAAGTGACAGGACATTGAAACATGTTGGTCAAGTGACATGACATTAACACATGTTGGTCAAGTGACATGACATTAATACATGTTGGTCAAGTGACATGACATTAACACATGTTGGTCAAGTGTCATGACATTAAAACATGTTGGTCAAGTGACATGACACTTGACCAACATGCTGGTCAGGTGAAATGACATTAAAATATGTTGGTCAGGTGACATGACATTAACACATGTTGGTCAAGTGACATGACATTAACACATGTTGGTCAAGTGACATGACATTAACACATGTTGGTCAAGTGACAGGACATTGAAACATGTTGGTCAAGTGACATGACATTAAAACATGCTGGTTAAGTGACATGGCATTAAAACATGTTGGTCAAGTGACAGGACATTGAAACATGTTGGTCAAGTGACATGACATTAACACATGTTGGTCAAGTGACATGACATTAATACATGTTGGTCAAGTGACATGACATTAACACATGTTGGTCAAGTGACATGACATCAAAACATGTTGGTCAAGTGACAGGACATTGAAACATGTTGGTCAAGTGACATCACATTAACACATGTTGGTCAAGTGACATGACATTAATACATGTTGGTCGGGTGACATGACATTGAAACATGTTGGTCAATTCACATGACATTAATACAAGTTGGTCAAGTGTCATGACATTAATGCAAGTTGGTCAAGTGACTTGACAGTATAACTTGTTGGTTGAGTGACTTGATAATACAACTTGATGGTTGAGTGACTTGATAATACAACTTGATGGTTGAGTGACATAACATGAAATCGTGTTGGTCATGTAACATGACATGAGTGAGTGAGTTTGCTTTTATGCCACTTTTAGCAATATTCCAGCAATGTCATGGTGGGGGACACCAGAAATGAGCTTCACACATTGTACCCATGTGGGGAATCGATCCCGAGTGTTTGGCATGACGAGCAAACGCTTTAACCACTAAGCTAGCCCGCCGCCCCTTAACATGACATGATAATATGTTGGTCAAGTGACTTGACATTAAAACATGCTGGTCAAGTGACATTACATTAACACATGTTGGTCAAGTGACATGACATCAAAACATGTTGGTCAAGTGACATCACATTAACACATGTTGGTGAAGTGACATGACATTAACACATGTTGGTCAAGTGACATGACATTAAAACATGTTGGTCAATTGACATGACATTAATACAAGTTGGTCAAGTGTCATGACATTAATGCAAGTTGGTCAAGTGACTTGACAGTATAACTTGTTGGTTGAGTGACTTGATAATACAACTTGATGGTTGAGTGACTTGATAATACAACTTGATGGTTGAGTGACATAACATGAAATCGTGTTGGTCATGTAACATGACATGAGTGAGTGAGTTTGCTTTTATGCCACTTTTAGCAATATTCCAGCAATGTCATGGTGGGGGACACCAGAAATGAGCTTCACACATTGTACCCATGTGGGGAATCGATCCCGAGTGTTTGGCATGACGAGCAAACGCTTTAACCACTAGGCTAGCCCTGCCGCCCCTTAACATGACATGATAATATGTTGGTCAAGTGATGTGGCATGAAAATGTGTGTCACCTCATCACCATTGTTCACCTGGCAGCATGTGGAGGTTGCCTGGTCACCACGCTGTTCATGTATGTTCCAGTGGGCTGCTAGTGACATTCCTGGTGCTGAAAGAGATGAGGCGGGCTGGTGGCAGGATCAACTGGTTCATGTTCTACTTCCACAGGTTCTGGAGGTGAGTGATGCTGGATGAGGAGGGTGTATGGCTAGGCGTAGATGTGAGAGGTGGTTGTGGAAGATGACTGTGGGACTTGGTTGTGACAGGTGATTGTCGGAGGTTTTTGTGGGAGGTGATTATGGACGTTGACCGTTGGGGATGACTGTCAGATGTTATCAGGTGTGGTCTGAGGTGGTTTTGGGAGGTGTTTATGGGAGGTGGATGTTGGAAGTGGTTGTCAGAGATGATCATTGGAGTTGAGAAACGGTGATAGAGAAAGAGAAAGGCAATATCAGCTGTGTTTGTGAGAGGTGGTTTTATGAACTGTTTGTAAGGGTGATAAATTGAATCTGTCAGGCAAGCTACAAAATCAGCAGGCCATGATTATTTGCAATGTTTGTGGGTGATTGTTAGCTTACAGATGGTTGTAAGAGGGGATTGTTAGCTAACAGATGGTTTAAGAGGGGATTGTTAGCTTCCAGATGGTTGTAAAAGGGGATTGTTAGCTTCCTTATGGTTGTAAGAGGGGATTGTTAGCTTGCACTTGGTTGTGAGAGGTAATTGTTAGCTTACAGATGGTTGTGAGGGGTGATTGTTAGCTTACACTTGGCTATGAGAGGGGATTGTTAGCTTACACTTGGTTGTGAGAGGGATTGTTAGCTTACACTTGGTTGTGAGAGGTAATTGTTAGCTTACACATGGTTGTAAGAGGGGATTGTTAGCTTCGACATGGTTGTAAGAGGGGATTGTTAGCTTCCATATGGTTGTAAGAAGGGATTGTTAGCTTACACTTGGTTATGAGAGGTGATTGTTAGCTTACACTTGGTTGTGAGAGGTGATTGTTAGCTTACACTTGGTTGTGAGAGGTGATTGTTAGCTTACACTTGGTTGTAAGAGGTGATTGTTAGCTTACACTTGGTTGTGAGAGGTGATTGTTAGCTTACACTTGGTTGTGAGAGGTGATTGTTAGCTTACACTTGGTTGTGAGAGGTGATTGTTAGCTTACACTTGGTTGTGAGAGGTGATTGTTAGCTTACACTTGGTTATGAGAGGTGATTGTTAGCTTACACTTGGTTATGAGAGGTGATTGTTAGCTTACACTTGGTTATGAGAGGTGATTGTTAGCTTACACTTGGTTATGAGAGGTGATTGTTAGCTTACACTTGGTTATGAGAGGTGATTGTTAGCTTACACTTGGTTATGAGAGGTGATTGTTAGCTTACAGGTGATTGGTTATGAGAGGTGATTGTTAGCTTACACTTGGTTATGAGAGGTGATTGTTAAGCTTACAGGTTGGTTATGAGAGAGAGTGATTGTTAGCTTACAGGTGTTATGAGAGAGATTGTTAGCTTACAGGTGGTTATGAGAGGTGATTGTTAGCTTACACTTGGTTATGAGAGGTGATTGTTAGCTTACACTTGGTTATGAGAGGTGATTGGTTATTAGAGGGGATTGTTAGCTTACACTTGGTTATGAGAGGTGATGATTGTTAGCTTACAGTTGGTTATGAGAGGTGATTGTTAGCTTACACTTGGTTATGAGAGGTGATTGTTAGCTTACACTTGGTTGTGAGAGGTGATTGTTAGCTTACAGTTGGTTATGAGAGGTGATTGTTAGCTTTACACTTGGTTGTAAGAGGTGATTGTTAGCTAACACTTGGTTAGAGAGATGATTGTTAGCTTATACTTGGCTATGAGAGGTGATTGTAAGCATACAGTTTGTTGTGGGAGGGGATTGTTAGCTTACACTTGATTGTGAGAGGTGATTGTTAGCTTACAGTTGGTTGTGAGAGGTGATTGTTAGTTTACACTTGGTTGTAAGAGGTGATTGTTAGCTTACACTTGGTTAGAGAGATGATTGTTAGCTTATACTTGGCTATGAGAGGTGATTGTAAGCATACAGTTTGTTGTGAGAGGGGATTGTTAGCTTACACTTGGTTACGAGAGGGGCTTGTTGGCTTACACTTGGTTGTGAGAGGGGCTTGTTGGCTTACAGGTGGTTGTGAGAGGGGATTGTTAGCTTCCAGATGGTTGTAAGAGGGGATTGTTAGCTTACACTTGGTTATGAAAGGTGATTGTTAGCTTACCGTTGGTTGTGAGAGGGGATTGTACGCTTACAGTTGGTTTAAGAGGGGATTGTTAGCTTACGCTTGGTTATGAAAGGTGATTGTTAGCTTACACTTGGTTGTGAGAGGGGATTGTTAGCTTACACTTGGTTATGAGAGGTGTTTGTTTGCTTACAGGTGGTTGTGAGAGGTGGTGGTGAGAGATAATGATTGGCGATACAGATGGTTGTAAGTGGTGTTTGTAGGAAGATGGTTGTGAGAGGTAGTTTTAGGAGGTGCTCCCCTGCAATTCTGACTACTGGACCGTTCATAGTGTATGGCTAGGGGTTTGATGATGATATTTATGGAAGGGCATGTACAATGTGAATGACCTCTCCTCTCCGTTCATACACAAGATGTGTAGCATTTAATTTTTATGGAAACCATAGTAACAACGTGTATGTATTTTAGACTGACGCCTCCATACATGTTGGTGATGATGGTGTACGTCCCACTCTTCCCCTACATCAGTAACGGCCCTCTGTGGCCTCAACAGGGTGTTGAGATCAACCAGTGCCGGAACTCATGGTGGACCAACTTACTGTATGTCAACAACCTGGTCAATGTCAAGGAGATGGTAAGTATAAATACCCCAATTTACACTACTTCCACAGGGTAATTTAGTGGTAGGATAGTTTATTATAGAACCATGCTTGTCATGATCCGGTCAGGTCCCTGTGGGGGCGGTGGGGTAGCCTAATGGTTAAAGCGTTGGGTCGTCACGCCGAAGACCCGGGTTCGAATCCCCACATGGGCACAATGTGTGAAGCCCATTTCTGGTGTCCCCCGCCGTGATGTTGCTGGAATATTGCTAAAAGCAGCTTAAAACCAAACTCAGTCAGTCAGTCAGGTCCCTGTGCCCTTTCTAGGTAGATTCTGGGGAATTATTAGGGCTCTGTGACTGTTGGGGACCCGTGAAGATCCGGGTTAGAATTGATTTTAAGGAACCCATGCTTGTCATAAAAGGCGACTAAGGGGATCGGGTGGTCAGGCTCTTTAACTCAAGTCATCGTGTCCCAATTGCGTAGACCGATGCTCATGCTGTTGATTACTGGATTGTCTGGTCCAGACTTGATTATTTACAGACTGTAGCCATATAGCTGGAATATTGCAGAGTGTGACGTTAAACAACAAACAAACCAATCTTTGTACCTCCTCAAGGGAGGTAACTAACTGCCACAATAAGGTCGTGGTGCTTCTTTCATGCAAGAGTCTTTGGCTGATGAGGTTCCAGTGGCCCTACTCGGAAGATTCTGGAGAAGAACAGATTTTGTGTTTCTTTGATGGAAGTTCTGGGGTTGGGTGTGATGATAACCTGTGCCACCCCAAGTGAGATTCTAGGGAACAAGGGGCGGTGGGGTAGCCTAATGGTTAAAGCGTTGGCTCGTCACGCCGAAGACCCGGGTTCGAATCCCCACATGGGTACAATGTGTGAAGCCCATTTCTGGTGTCCCCCGCCGTGATGTTGCTTGAATATTGCTAAAAGCGGCGTAAAACCAAACTCAGTCAGTCAGTCAGTCAGTCAGTCAGTCAACACGATGCAAGAGCAAGATGGCGTCCCGAAACGGCACAAGTAATGACGGATAACGGACAGATAACATATGTCTATCTGGCTTCAATCATTTCTGTATCACAACAAGCCTCACTATGTCAACAATGTACATCAACTCAAATACCCGTCATGTACATATTTCTCCTTGTGCATATGTTGTGTATCATTTGCTTGATAACAGTGTTAGGATCTACACCAAAACGTCGCATCCAGTGCAGTAAAGAAGTTGTCCATCCCAAAAAGTGTTCCTCTTTAAGCCTTAACTGGTGTATGCACAATTGTGGGGAATTGACGCAGAAACCCCCAAATACTGCATCTGAAGAAATGCACAAGACACCCACTATGCATCAGGAGTAGTTATCTATGACTAAACGACCAACCAATCGATCATGTTTCCTCATAATCGAACAGACACAATTTTGGAACTTTTGTTTTCAACAACAATATTTTTCACAAGGTTGGTTCTATCTGTTACGTTTCAGAAGCAATACAAGCTTGTTCCAAGTCATGATTGAATTTATCTTAAAGACTCCAGGAAAATGTTCCAAAGATACTAGTCATCCCTTAAAGATGTGCAATTTGATAAAAAAAAAACGTTAAGAACTACATGTTTTTTCTTTATTTTTTGGTACATTAAGAAACATAACCAGGAAAATTGAATAAAAGACACTAACCAATTATTTTCGATGATTCATTGATTGTAATGAACCAGTCATCAATTATGAGATTTAACCAATTCCCAACACTGACGACCACGGTCCACATGACCACTGATTCATTCCAGGCTCTAAGTAGCGGTGTAGCAGGTCATTTCTTCCCCAGTCTAAACTTTCCCCAGGGATATTCTTACCCCGGGGAAAGTTTGGGCTAGGCTAAAGTTTCTCCGGGGAAGGTTTGGCCAGGGGGAAAGTTTGGCCTGTTACACCGGTAATTATCTGAACATACACTATACTACACCATCTCAGTACTTGACAAACCCTTGACACCCTACTTTTGTAAGTGAAAACCCTGGTAACATCTGTGCGATGATGTAGTGATTAGCCTGCTTGGTTGGCATATAAACAAGCTAATTCTTTTCTTATTTAAAAGAAACTCGGTGAACACATGAGCATTTGTTGAAATGGATTTATCTCCCTTGTTTCAGTGCATGGGCTGGTCCTGGTATCTGGCCAATGATATGCAGTTCTACATCTTGTCGCCTCTCATTTTGTGCCGCTGTTCTTGTGAGTGAACCCCATTAGATATGATGTAAACAATGCCCAGAAAAAAAAATATTTTTTTAAAACTCAACAAGAAGCAACAAAATTTGGAATCTACACATGCTGCCTGTCTGTAAATACTCTATTGAAAATAATTAATATATGGTTCTGATTTTTGGTGACATGTAAAAGTTTTGTTATTTTTGTACAGTAATATGATATGGCTGTATTATTCCCTTGCTGCTTATGTTACATTGTTGATATATGGGTGTGAACATTTTGGGACAGTAACTTAGTTTTCGCTTGAGGATGTTTTTACATTTTTTTCCACTGATTATAAATTCCATGTAGTTCCGGCATCCTGGGCACGATTGCTGTCTTGGCGTTCCTCTTGGCAGTCTTTATCACGGCAGGTGTATTATCCAGGGTACACAACATGTCCCCATCATTGATAGGGGGCGCCGGGGCCGGAGGAGGAGGAGGAGAGTAAGTCCTGTGTGATTGTGTATAATTACCTCAGTATTCATTCCATGTAGTTCCGGCATCCTGGGCACGATCGCTGTCTTGGCGTTCCTGTTGGCTGTCTTTATCACGGCAGGGGTGTTATCCAGGGTACACAACATGTCCACATCAATGACAGGGGGCGGCGGGGCCGGAGGAGGAGAGTAAGCAGAGTTGTTTCCCTTTAAGCTTCTGCTTAATTTCAGTTAAGGTTGAATTCGCACTGCCTGCTTTTTACAACACAAGCAATAGTTAACATTTCAACATCTTGCTGTTATTAGTCATGTTTTTAGCATTCTTGGACACTTAAAAGCCCTGTTGTCTGCTGTCAAAGATGGCATACGAAAAACATGCACTCATTCATTTTCCAGTGACTTCATGGCCTACTTCTTTGACTACTACGTCACACCGTACTGCCGCATGGGGCCATATATTGTCGGCATGGTAACCGGCTATCTGTTGTACAAAACAGACTGCAAGATCAGACTCAACAAGGTAACGTGTTACTACAGTTACTACAGTTACTACATGCTTTATGTTATAACATAGCAACATATTATATATATAAAATAGGTACATACTGTATGTTATTCTGGTGCAACACACCAAATATTATACCATAGTGATATACTTATATGTTATACCATAGAGACAAAATGTAATATCTATCACAGAAACATTCTGTACATTATAGCATAGCAACATGCAATATGTTATAGCAAAACAACATGTTACACATTTTGTTGCTATGGAATAATATACGATATGGTATATCATACAAATGTTACTATCATATATCAGGGTTTGATTTAAGCATTTAAAACTTGCACTGGTGCAACCTGAAACTGCTAAATGCAACCTCTCATGTATATCAACTTGACCCAGTGCATGGTAATATTTTGTGTTCAAATTACACAGACTTCAGCTGGAAAACAGAATGATGAGGAATTGACTTGGAACAGTGACTCTGATTATTGTAGGAACAGTCACTGAAGGACTTGCTGTTCATGAAAGTTAAAGGTCACATGCAACGTAAAACACAACTTTGCAGATTCTGATACCTTTCGGTATGGACTTACCGAAACAAATCCTCAAAAATGCAAATTCAACTTATAAAGTTGAAAAATAACGCGATGAAAAAAAATGTGCGAAATCGGAGTTCAAACGTTTCACTAATTTTCCCCCGACTTTTCTGGGGAAAACGGACTAAACTCAATGTCTTGTTTTATTGACACCTGTGTGTCTGCCTGCCTGTCTGCTAATGACAATATTCAATACACAGCTGCTATCACTGACCACATGCAATTTGAACTTAACACCAATCAGGCTATACACCATAAACAAAATGCATTGATTTATAGCCCGAGTTCGGTCTCTGTCACATTATGTAATTACACAGACAGGCAGGTGTGATACTTGAACACATGACATGTTATGATGTCTGTTGATTGCAAAATGTTATACACAAAAATGAGCATGTATTTACAAAACCCAACATCTCTATATATACACACACAATGACCGGTGAGGGCATCTGCAAATGAACCAGCCGTTACACTTGAGTGCACACCCACCCGCTCTGACTGGGTTCGGTATCCCGGCTGCTTCGTTTCTTGGGAAGTAAACCCAAGTACACAATATTGCACTTTTGATTTGCGATTGTACGCTTATAATTTTGTTTATATGTTTTTTCATAACCAGCAATGTATATTATATGTCATGAATAAGTGATAATTGTGTTTTAATTATGTTTGACTTTTTGGTTGCATGTGACCTTTAAGGAAGTAAGATAACTACAGATTTCTTTTGTTATAATACTGTTCTAAACCGTCTTTACCAAAACTCAAGCATTATGTAAGATTTTATATTAAGCAGCAGGTGCAACCTTTTTATATTTGGTGCAACAAGGTGATTGCCTTAGGTTGCACTGGGTGCAAGTAGGTTTCATTTCCTTAAATCGACCCCTGTATATCATGAGAGTATGTAGCAATGGTATAATGTACAATGTCTTGCCATGGTATAGAATACTGTATGTTGCTGTGGTATGATAATAGTATGCTGCTATGATACTGTATGTTGCTATGATATGACAAATAATATGTTTCAGTGGCATACTACACTATATGTTGCTATGTTAGATTGTACAACATGTTGCTATGACATAACATGCAGTGTGTTGCTGAGGTGCCAGTTATTTATCATACATTATTATCTATATGGTGAAACATAAGTCATGTCATATTTTCAATATGTGCATGTATCACTCTTGCCTAGCAACCATTGTTTCTGTATTTCGTCATCTGTGACATCATTAAACATTTGATCGTGACGTCAATGGAGAAGGCCGTCACACTTGCTTACAGTGTTTTACTGCACAAATGTACATGAATAAAATGGATAATAAAGAAATTATTACACAAACATTAGTGTGCCTTACTATTGATACGAAACTCGTGCAAAATTATGTTTTGCTCGTTTGGTATCAATCGTATGACACACTTGCTTGTGTAATAATCTCTAAGTATGCTGCTATGATATAACCTACAGTATGTTGCAATGATATAACATACAGTGTGTTGCTATGATATAACATACAGTATGTTGCTGCTATGATATAACCTACAGTATGTTGCTATGATATAACATACAGTGTGTTGCTATGATATAACATGCCGTTTGTTGCTATTATATAACCTACAGTATGTTGCTATGATATAACATACAGTGTGTTGCTATGATATAACCTGCCGTTTGTTGCTATTATATAACCTACAGTATGTTGCTATGATATAACATACAGTGTGTTGCTATGATATAACCTGCCGTTTGTTGCTATTATATAACATACAGTATGCTGCTTTGATGTAACATACAGTATGTTGCTATGACATACAGTATGTTAAAACATTAGTGTTGGCAATGTTGATATAACATCCACTATGTTTATTGGAGGATTGTGGTGAGCGATTATTGCTTATGATCGAACATATATACATTTTTATGAAAACCAATTTGAAGGGTTTTTCCCCAGGTTTTTACTAATAAATGTTCCTTATAACATACAGTCATGCAGTGAAATGCATGCATGCAACAGAAAGACACTGGAATTGCAATTAAACACAGTATGTTGTTAAAATTTAACAATGCGCAGTATGTTGCTGTGACATGACATACAGTTTGTTGCTGTGATATGACATACAATTTAATGGTTAGTTTACTTCATTCAAGTATGTTAAACTAAAACAACAAAATTCATGTTGTCGAAAATTATTTTTTGACATACGATAATTATTTTTAATCCTTCTTTCAGTCGATGTTGATTGATTTTCAATATGTTGTTGTGATATGACATACAGTATGTTGCTGTGATATGAGATGTATACAATATGTTGCTATGTTATAACATACATTATGTTGCTGTAAATGACATACAGTATGCTGCTATGATATAACATGCAATATGTTGCTATGACATAACATTCAGTATGTTGCTGTGATATGACATACAGTATGTTGCTATGACATAACATTCAGTATGTTGCTGTGATATGACATACAGGATGTTGCTGTGATATGACATACAGGATGTTGCTGTGATATGACATACAGTATGTTGCTGTGATATGACATACAGGATGTTGCTGTGATATGACATACAGTATGTTGCTGTGATATGACATACAGGATGTTGCTGTGATATGACATACAGGATGTTGCTGTGATATGACATACAGGATGTTGCTGTGATATGACATACAGGTATGTTGCTGTGATATGACATACAGGATGTTGCTGTGATATGACATACAGTATGTTGCTGTGATATGACATACAGTATGTTGCTGTGATATGACATACAGGATGTTGCTGTGATATGACATGCAGGATGTTGCTGTGATATGACATACATGCTGATGCTGTTATATGACATACAGGATGTTGCTGTGATATGACATACAGTATGTTGCTGTGATATGACATACAGTATGTTGCTGTGATATGACATACAGTGTGTTGCTGTGATATGACATACGGTATGTTGCTGTGATATGACATACAGTGTGTTGCTGTGATATGACATACGGTATGTTGCTGTGATATGACATACAGTATGCTCCTGTGATATGACATACAGGATGTTGCTCAGCCATTCTCAGTTAAAATGTACAATTGCCATTGGAAACATATAATCAAACACTAAAAAAATAGTCCTGTTTACATCCTTAAATTTAAATCTCCACGATCCAATCACAGGTTTACTGCTTTATCACTTTATAGGAAACCATATGTTTCAATATTCAGCTTACTTTATATGCCTGTGCTTTATACAGAAAAGATTAATGTAGAGGCAATGAAAAGTAATTTACGTCACAATTCCTGTAATTTACGTTACAGGGCCATGCATGGAGGGCAAAGAATGTTTTTCATAAATCATGTCTGAATTATGAAAGTATTTAAACTGATTAATCAAAATATTATCGTAATGTTCCAAAAATGTAACTTGGAATCATTATACAGCATGTGTCAAAACAGTACAATCATCCTTATCATTGAAAAACACTTATTCCACTTCAGGATGAATCAGGAAACTCTGGTTCATCAAAGTTCACATTCGTATTACCTGCTGAAATGACCACTGCTTCCAACGTGTGATTACATAGGGTATTTGTGGTGCACTTTTTCACTTACAAGGAATTTCTGAACATCTACTAAACGTAAATTACAAAACGTAAATTACATCCTTATATTAAATGTCCAGGATGAGGGCCACATTACTCCGTTTTGGTGATTTAATGTTTGGAAACATACACGGTTATGCTATCCATGTAAATGGATTAGGGCCAGCATCGATTCCTATGAGACTTATTTTACTGTGACCGTCACGTATGATTACATCCTTAAAAATTGTTCCAATAACTAAAGATAAAATGGGTTAGTTCGTTCTATTAATCCTCCTTGTTGATCAGTTGACATTTGTTTGTAAGCAATATTGTGTCCGGCATAGAATACAACCCATTTTAAAACTTGTTTATATGTAGTAAATGTTATGTACATCAGTTACCATAACGTAAATTACCTTACCTCTACCAACAAAATTAAAACAAAAAATTGTCTTTTGGTTTTTTTCTCATCCTTGAATTTTATGTTCTTATATATAAAAGCACACTTTGAAATTTCATTATGCTGGTTTATTACGTTGACTTGTAATTAATTAGTATTATGTAGAAGAGAATCCTTGACGGCAATATGTTTTGCCGACAGCAAGGAAATCATAAGCAACTGTAAAGGAACAGTCAGTTTCAAATATTTTCTCAAATGTTTGTGACTACTGTAGTTTACCCAAAACTTCTATTACATTTGACTATAGAATACTGTCGATTTCATAGGAAAAACGGTTTCACGTTGAGGATAGCGGGGCCTGTAACCAGTCCGACAGCATTTGTACAACTTATCTGAGAATGACTGTGCTTTGATTCAACGTACAGTGTGTTGCCATGATATAACCTACAGTATGCTGCTATGATATAACATACAGTGTGTTGCTATGATATAACCTACAGTATATTGCTGATATAACATTCAGTATGTTGCTCAGATATAACATACAGTGTGTTGCTAGGATATAACATACAGTATATTGCCATGATATAACATTCAGTATGTTGCTCAGATATAACATACAGTGTGTTGCTAAGATATAATATGTTGTTTATTGCTTGCTACCTGTTTTGTTTCAGTGGCTTGTGGTGTTGGGCTGGTGTGTAGCAACAGCGTCAGCTCTAGCCGTGTTGTACGGCCTGTATGATGTCAACAACGGTCACCCACTCACCGTGGACACTGCAGCATTCTACAACGCAGTTCATAGGTCGGTCTGGGGCATGTCTGTGCTGGGTCATCTTCGCATGTGCTACAGGTTACGGAGGTGAGAATGAAACATCATATCGGCCATTAATCTCTGAAAGTGCTGTATAAATCTATTATGATTAATGTAGTTAGTAAAATTGGTATCAAGATTTCAAAACTGAAAACCAAGTGCATGTTCTTCAAACACATGCTGAAGGTAATCACCTGCTTTCACAAGAAAGATATTTTTGAGTAGATATTGGCTCTGTTCTGTTAAATATTCTCCCATCTAACGTATTACATTTGGTATTACACTTTCTCAGTAAGGTACACATTCTAGTACTTTCTAGGGTCAAGTCTCATCTGGGATTCAAACCCACACCATCAGAGTCAGGCACCTCACTGCTCTTGTGACTTGACCCACTCACCCACTACAGCTTATGCAAAAATGGTGTCTAACAACTGGTTGTACAGGCAATATGTCTCATGGCTCCAAGTTGCTAGTGAATTGGTCACATTTGTGAGTAAACTTTGAGAAATGCAACCAAATAATATAAAAAACAATGTCTTTGGCGAGCGAGGTAAAAATTAAATTAAATTAAGGCAGTTATTCTAGTTTTCATCATAAATAATTCTGACTTTGATTTAATTAAGAATTTATTGATAATGATTGATAGGTTTAGCGATGACTGACTTACGATCATCTTGAGTCTAAGTGACTATTTACAAAATATTTGTTAATAATGATCTCGAATAGTGGAACTTAGTAAATTTGATAATATGTGAACAATAACTGAAATTGTATATATGGCAACAAACATTAAATTTGGCTAGTAAATTTTAAATTTCACTTAGATAATAACAAGGAAGTCTAAATATGAACTTGGAGCCCTGTGTCTTGTAACTTCTTTCAGAGGCATTTACACGTTGGCTCTGTAAGGAAGGATAACAATATATGGATGAACATCTTCAGCAATAAAGAAGTTATTCATCTGTATATTGTTATCCTTCCTAACATGTCTTGTGTTTATCCCCCTGGCAAGTGAAGTTGTCAGTGTTAACTGTAAAAACTTGATCCCAAACATAACAAATGTGACATTTAACAAAGCCCTTGTGTATTCATTATCTCCATAGGTTATTGATTGGAGAAAAGTGACCCAAGTTTGATGGTCTTAAATTACCATTTAACGATTGCACAATGGTTTCCCAGTTCTCTTTATCTGCTTAACCTTTATCATACCGGTACTTGATCCCACTTCAGAAACACATCAAATTTACAGGAGAGTCTCATAATGGTGTAACTAAGAAAAATCCGAAATTTCATCTTGAATGGTTCCAGAGATACAGGTATATTCCCATATGGGAACACTGGCAGGATCATCGTGAAAATGAGACAAAACTATATTTTTGTAACACATCTTTTATTTCTTTGAAATTTAGTGAACAAAACTTTCTTTAACACATAAATCGCTGATGTTCCAAGAAGAGGTAGGCAATGAAATAGTTGTTAAACAATCACATAAATTACGCTGATGAGTATATAACGCAGCTGGAATGAGTTTTCTTCCCAAAATATCAGCGACCATAATCATGTGGCAAGTGTTCCTGAATATGAGTCCAGACTTGTCACCAGGTCATCCGGCTCTAATGGGGGATTTTAATATCCATGTTGATTCTGTGTCTGACTCATTTGCTAAATCTTTCTGTGACATCTTTCAATCTCCTACAGCACGTGTCTGGTCCAACTCATCAATCAGGTCATACACAACTAGTCATAACCAAATATAGTTGTGATATTCTGGATGTCGTTGATGTTACAGTCCGTTTGGATAAAATGATACCGATGAATAGCAATCTTAACACAAAAACAAATCGATATAAAAGAATCAAAACAACGCGGACTGCAATATAAACAACAGACCAACTCTAGAAAAAAAATTCATAATTTGAGTCACAAAAATAAAAAAGTTGTTTAAGAAACTGTCATCATATATTTGTGCGTTTTCCCAGTTTGTTACAAGGGCGCATTGGCAACTAAAGGAACAGCATGAAAAGCGAGATGCACATGCGTTAACGGGTTCTCAACAAACTTTTGAGCTGGCGAGATGACACGTACCCCAGCTGCACAGGCAGTGTGCTGTATGTACTTAGTAATTGCATACTTGGGTCACCCCCTGTCATTTTCATCTTTGAAAAAAAATTATAGACTTTGTAAATTATAGACTTTCATTTTCTCTCACTTTGTCAATCAGCAGTAATGCACGTGCATCTCGTGTTTCGCACTGTTCCTTTAGTTGCCACTGCACCCTTGTAACAAACTGGGAAAATGCACAAATAAATGATGACAGTTTCTTAAACACCTTTTTTTGGTGACACAAATTATGCAATGTTTCTGATAGAGCTGATGAGGCGACGCTTTAACCACTAGGCTACCCCAATCAAAACAACAGTGATAGATGTGTGATGAGCGATAGTGCTTTAACCACTAGGCTACCCACCGCCCGTCCAGTGATAGAGTGTGATGAGCGACGCTTTAACCACTAGGCTACCCCACCGCCCGTCAGTGATAGAGTGTGATGAGCGACGCTTTAACCACTAGGCTACCCCACCGCCCGTCAGTGATAGAGTGTGATGAGCGACGCTTTAACCACTAGAGGGCTACCCCACCGCCCGTCAGTGATAGAGTGTGATGAGCGACGCTTTAACCACTAGGCTACCCCACGCCCGTCAGTGATAGAGTGTGATGAGCGACGCTTTAACCACTAGGCTACCCCACCGCCCGTCAGTGATAGAGTGTGATGAGCGACGCTTTAACCACTAGGCTACCCACAGCCCGTCAGTGATAGAGTGTGATGAGCGACGCTTTAACCACTAGGCTACCCAATCACCGCCCGTCAGTGATAGAGTGTGATGAGCGACGCTTTAACCACTAGGCTACCCCACCGCCAGTCAGTGATAGAGTGTGATGAGCGACGCTTTAACCACTAGGCTACCCCACCGCCCGTCAGTGATAGAGTGTGATGAGCGACGCTTTAACCACTAGGCTACCCACCGCCCGTCAGTGATAGAGTGTGATGAGCGACGCTTTAACCACTAGGCTACCCACCGCCCGTCAGTGATAGAGTGTGATGAGCGACGCTTTAACCACTAGGCTACCCACACCGCCCGTCAGTGATAGAGTGTGATGAGCGACGCTTTAACCACTAGGCTACCCACCGCCCGTCAGTGATAGAGTGTGATGAGCGACGCTTTAACCACTAGGCTACCCCACCGCCCGTCAGTGATAGAGTGTGATGAGCGACGCTTTAACCACTAGGCTACCCCACCGCCCGTCAGTGATAGAGTGTGATGAGCGACGCTTTAAGGCTACCACTAGTGATAGAGCTACCCCAACCCCTGTCAGTGATAGAGTGTGATGAGCGACGCTTTAACCACTAGGCTACCCCACCGCCCGTCAGTGATAGAGTGTGATGAGCGACGCTTTAACCACCAGGGCTACCCACCGCCCGTCAGTGATAGAGTGTGATGAGCGACGCTTTAACCACTAGGCTACCCCACCGCCCGTCAGTGATAGAGTGTGATGAGCGGCGCTTTAACCACTAGGCTACCCCACCGCCCGTCAGTGATAGAGTGTGATGAGCGACGCTTTAACCACTAGGCTACCCCACCGCCCGTCAGTGATAGAGTGTGATGAGCGACGCTTTAACCACTAGGCTACCCCACCACCCGTCAGTGATAGAGTGATGAGTGTGATGAGCGATGCTTTAACCACTAGGCTACCCCACCGCCCGTCAGTGATAGAGTGTGATGAGCGGCGCTTTAACCACTAGGCTACCCCACCGCCCGTCAGTGATAGAGTGTGATGAGCGACGCTTTAACCACTAGGCTACCCCACATCGCCCGTCAGTGATAGAGTGTGATGAGCGACGCTTTAACCACTAGGCTACCCACCACCGTCAGTGATAGAGTGTGATGAGCGGCGCTTTAACCACTAGGCTACCCACACCCCGTCAGTGATAGAGTGTGATGAGCGGCGAACGCTTTAACCACTAGGCTACCCCACCGCCCGTCAGTGATAGAGTGTGATGAGCGACGCTTTAACCACTAGGCTACCCCACCGCCCGTCAGTGATAGAGTGTGATGAGCGACGCTTTAACCACTAGGCTACCCACAGCCCGTCAGTGATAGAGTGTGATGAGCGGCGCTTTAACCACTAGGCTACCCCACCGCCCGTCAGTGATAGAGTGTGATGAGCGGCGCTTTAACCACTAGGCTACCCACACCCGTCAGTGATAGAGTGTGATGAGCGACGCTTTAACCACTAGGCTACCCCACCGCGCCGGCCAGTGATAGAGTGTGATGAGCGACGCTTTAACCACTAGGCTAGGCTACCCACCGCCCGTCAGTGATAGAGTGTGATGAGCGACGCTTTAACCACTAGGCTACCCCACCCCGTCAGTGATAGAGTGTGATGAGCGACGCTTTAACCACTAGGCTACCCACCGCCCGTCAGTGATAGAGTGTGATGAGCGACGCTTTAACCACTAGGCTACCCCACCGCCTGTCAGTGATAGAGTGTGATGAGCGACGCTTTAACCACTAGGCTACCCCACCAGCCCGTCAGTGATAGAGTGTGATGAGCGGCGCTTTAACCACTAGGCTACCCGCAATCGCCGTCAGTGATAGAGTGTGATGAGCGACGCTTTAACCACTAGGCTACCCACCGCCCGTCAGTGATAGAGTGTGATGAGCGACGCTTTAACCACTAGGCTACCCACCGCCCGTCAGTGATAGAGTGTGATGAGCGACGCTTTAACCACTAGGCTACCCCACACCCGTCAGTGATAGAGTGTGATGAGCGGCGCTTTAACCACTAGGCTACCCCCACGCCGTCAGTGATAGAGTGTGATGAGCGACGCTTTAACCACTAGGCTACCCCACCGCCCGTCAGTGATAGAGTGTGATGAGCGGCGCTTTAACCACTAGGCTACCCCACCGCCCGTCAGTGATAGAGTGTGATGAGCGACGCTTTAACCACTAGGCTACCCCACCGCCCGTCAGTGATAGAGTGTGATGAGCGACGCTTTAACCACTAGGCTACCCACAATCGCCGTCAGTGATAGAGTGTGATGAGCGATGCTTTAACCACTAGGCTACCCACCGCCCGTCAGTGATAGAGTGTGATGAGCGGCATGCTTTAACCACTAGGCTACCCACCGCCCGTCAGTGATAGAGTGTGATGAGCGCGACTTTAACCACTAGGCTACCCACCGCCCGTCAGTGATAGAGTGTGATGAGCGATGCTTTAACCACTAGGCTACCCCACCGCCCGTCAGTGATAGAGTGTGATGAGCGGCGCTTTAACCACTAGGCTACCCACCGCCCGTCAGTGATAGAGTGTGATGAGCGACGCTTTAACCACTAGGCTACCCACACCGCCCGTCAGTGATAGAGTGTGATGAGCGACGCTTTAACCACTAGGCTACCCCACAATCACCGTCCAGTGATAGAGTGTGATGAGCGACGCTTTAACCACTAGGCTACCCCACCGCCCGTCAGTGATAGAGTGTGATGAGCGGCGCTTTAACCACTAGGCTACCCCACCGCCCGTCCAGTGATAGAGTGTGATGAGCGATGCTTTAACCACTAGGCTACCCCACCGCCCGTCAGTGATAGAGTGTGATGAGCGGCGCTTTAACCACTAGGCTACCCCCACCACCCGTCAGTGATAGAGTGTGATGAGCGGCGCTTTAACCACTAGGCTACCCCACCACCCGTCAGTGATAGAGTGTGATGAGCGACGCTTTAACCACTAGGCTACCCACCGCCCGTCAGTGATAGAGTGTGATGAGCGGCGCTTTAACCACTAGGCTACCCCACCGCCAGTGATAGAGTGTGATGAGCGGCGCTTTAACCACTAGGCTACCCACCGCCGTCAGTGATAGAGTGTGATGAGCGACGCTTTAACCACTAGGCTACCCCACCGCCCGTCAGTGATAGAGTGTGATGAGCGACGCTTTAACCACTAGGCTACCCACCGCCCGTCAGTGATAGAGTGTGATGAGCGACGCTTTAACCACTAGGCTACCCACCACCCGTCAGTGATAGAGTGTGATGAGCGGCGCTTTAACCACTAGGCTACCCCACCACCCGTCAGTGCGATAGAGTGTGATGAGCGGCGCTTTAACCACTAGGCTACCCCACCGCCCGTCAGTGATAGAGTGTGATGAGCGGCGCTTTAACCACTAGGCTACCCCACCGCCCGTCAGTGATAGAGTGTGATGAGCGACGCTTTAACCACTAGGCTACCCCCCCCCCACTAGTCAGTGATAGAGTGTGATGAGCGACGCTTTAACCACTAGGCTACCCACCGCCCGTCAGTGATAGAGTGTGATGAGCGGCGCTTTAACCACTAGGCTACCCCACCGCCGTCAGTGATAGAGTGTGATGAGCGACGCTTTAACCACTAGGCTACCCCACCGCCCGTCAGTGATAGAGTGTGATGATGAGCGACGCTTTAACCACTAGGCTACCCACCGCCCGTCAGTGATAGAGTGTGATGAGCGGCGCTTTAACCACTAGGCTACCCCACCGCCCGTCAGTGATAGAGTGTGATGAGCGGCGCTTTAACCACTAGGCTACCCCACCGCCCGTCAGTGATAGAGTGTGATGAGCGACGCTTTAACCACTAGGCTACCCCACGCCCGTCCAGTGATAGAGAGTGTGATGAGCGACGCTTTAACCACTAGGCTACCCCACCGCCCCCGTCAGTGATAGAGTGTGATGAGCGACGCTTTAACCACTAGGCTACCCACAATCGCCCGTCAGTGATAGAGAGTGTGATGAGCGACGCTTTAACCACTAGGCTACCCAATCGCCCGTCAGTGATAGAGTGTGATGAGCGACGCTTTAACCACTAGGCTACCCCACCGCCCGTCAGTGATAGAGTGTGATGAGCGACGCTTTAACCACTAGGCTACCCCACCGCCCACCAGTGATAGAGTGTGATGAGCGACGCTTTAACCACTAGGCTACCCACCGCCCGTCAGTGATAGAGTGTGATGAGCGGCGCTTTAACCACTAGGCTACCCACCGCCCGTCAGTGATAGAGTGTGATGAGCGACGCTTTAACCACTAGGCTACCCCAATCACCCGTCAGTGATAGAGTGTGATGAGCGACGCTTTAACCACTAGGCTACCCCACCGCCCGTCAGTGATAGAGTGTGATGAGCGATGCTTTAACCACTAGGCTACCCCACCGCCCGTCAGTGATAGAGTGTGATGAGCGGCGCTTTAACCACTAGGCTACCCCAATCACCGTCAGTGATAGAGTGTGATGAGCGACGCTTTAACCACTAGGCTACCCCACCGCCCGTCAGTGATAGAGTGTGATGAGCGACGCTTTAACCACTAGGCTACCCCACCGCCCGTCAGTGATAGAGTGTGATGAGCGACGCTTTAACCACTAGGCTACCCACAATCACCCCAATCGTCAGTGATAGAGTGTGATGAGCGACGCTTTAACCACTAGGCTACCCCACCGCCCGTCAGTGATAGAGTGTGATGAGCGACGCTTTAACCACTAGGCTACCCCACCGCCCGTCAGTGATAGAGTGTGATGAGCGGCGCTTTAACCACTAGGCTACCCACCGCCTTTAATCAGTGATAGAGTGTGATGAGCGGCGCTTTAACCACTAGGCTACCCCACCGCCCGTCAGTGATAGAGTGTGATGAAGCGGCGCTTTAACCACTAGGCTACCCCAATCACCGTCAGTGATAGAGTGTGATGAGCGGCGCTTTAACCACTAGGCTACCCCACCGCCCGTCAGTGATAGAGTGTGATGAGCGACGCTTTAACCACTAGGCTACCCACAGCCCGTCAGTGATAGAGCGTGATGAGCGGCGCTTTAACCACTAGGCTACCCCACCGCCCGTCAGTGATAGAGTGTGATGAGCGACGCTTTAACCACTAGGCTACCCACGCCCGTCAGTGATAGAGTGTGATGAGCGGCGCTTTAACCACTAGGCTACCCCACCGCCCGTCAGTGATAGAGTGTGATGAGCGACGCTTTAACCACTAGGCTACCCCACCGCCCGTCAGTGATAGAGTGTGATGAGCCGACGCTTTAACCACTAGGCTACCCCACCGCCTCAGTGATAAGGTGTGATGGCGATGCTTTAACCACTAGGCTACCCCATCGCCCGTCAGTGATAGAGCGTGATGAGCGACGCTTTAACCACTAGGCTACCCCAATCACCTCAGCGATAGAGTGTGATGAGCGGCGCTTTAAACCACTAGGCTACCCCACCCTGTCAGTGATGAGAGTGTGATGGCGAGCGCTTTAACCACTAGGCTACCCCAATCACCCGGCCAGTGATAGAGTGTGATGAGCGGCGCTTTAACCACTAGGCTACCCCCACCGCCCTTCAGTGATAGAGTGTGATGAGCGACGCTTTAACCACTAGGCTACCCCAATCCGTCAGTGATAGAGTGTGATGAGCGATGCCTTAACCACTAGGCTATCCCACCACCCGTCAGTGATAGAGTGTGAGGAGCGGCGCTTTAACCACTAGGCTATCCCAATCACCGTCAGTGATAGAGTGTGATGAGCGGCGCTTTAACCACTAGGCTATCCCAATCGCCCATCAGTGATAGAGTGTGATGAGCGGCGCTTTAAACACTAGGCTACCCCACCCCCCGTCAGTGATGGAGAGTGTGATGAGCGGCGCTTTAACCACTAGGCTACCCACCGCCCGTCAGTGATAGAGCGTGATGAGCGGCGGCTTTAACCACTAGGCTACCCCACCGCCCATCAGTGATAGAGCATGATGAGCGACGCTTTAACCACTAGGCTACCCCACTGCCCGTCAGTGATAGAGGGTGACGAGCGACGCTTTAACCACTAGGCTACCCCACCGCCCATCAGTGATGGAGTGTGACTAGCGACGCTTTAACCACTAGGCTACCCCACCGCCCGTCAGTGCTAGAAGGGGTCGGGATAGCCGAGTGGATAAGGCGTCCACTCTCCACACTGAACACCTGGGTTGGATTTTCAACATGGTCTCAACATGTGTAAAGCCCATTCCTTGTGTCCAACACTTTGATATTACAGAAATATTGGGAAAACAAAACCCAATTCACTCACTCATTCAATGAGTGCTTGTTTGGCCATTTCAGTCAGTTCACTTGTTTTTGGCCATGTTTGGGTTGGTTGTTTTGATGATGCTGACAATGTTTTCTGTTCGACCACTTCCTCCGTCATACACTGTGTAACAATGGGGATGTTTTTCAGGTTTTGTGAACACTCTGTTGTCGTGGTCTGCTTTCGTCCCTCTTGGTCGACTGACGTACTGTGCCTATCTTGTACATCCCATCGTCATGTACATCTTCTTCTCCTCCCAGCATACACTGCTCCACCTCTCCGACATCAATGTGGTAAGTATATCCAGCATACATCACAACACCCAGCATGCATCACATTTCCCAGCATACATCACATTTCCCAGCATGCATCACATTTCCCAGCATACATCACATTTCCCAGCATACATCACATTTCCCAGCATACATCACATTTCCCAGCATACATCACAACACCCAGCATGCATCACATTTCCCAGCATACATCACATTTCCCAGCATACATCACATTTCCCAGCATACATCACAACACCCAGCATACATCACATGTCCCAGCATGCATCACATTTCCCAGCATACATCACATTTCCCAGCATACATCACAACACCCAGCATACATCACAACTCCCAGCATACATCACAACTCCCAGCATACATCACAACACCCAGCATGCATCACATTTCCCAGCATGCATCACAACACCCAGCATGCATCACAACACCCAGCATACATCACATTTCCCAGCATGCATCACATTTCCCAGCATACATCAAATTTCCCAGCATACATCACAACACCCAGCATACATCACAACACCCAGCATACATCACAACTCCCAGCATACATCACATTTCCCAGCATGCATCACAACACCCAGCATGCATCACAACACCCAGCATACATAACATTTCCCAGCATGCATCACATTTCCCAGCATACATCACATTTCCCAGCATACATCAAATTTCCCAGCATACATCACAACACCCAGCATACATCACATTTCCCAGCATGCATCACAACTCCCAGCATGCATCACAACACCCAGCATGCATCACAACACCCAGCATGCATCACAACACCCAGCATGCATCACAACACCCAGCATGCATCACAACACCCAGCATGCATCACAACACCCAGCATGCATCACAACACCCAGCATGCATCACACCAAGCATGCATCACAACACCCAGCATGCATCACAACACCCAGCATGCATCACAACACCCAGCATGCATCACAACACCCAGCATGCATCACAACACCCAGCATACATCACATTTCCCAGCATACACTGCTCCACCTCTCCGACATCAGTGTGGTAAGTATGTTCAGCATATCCCCCTGGGTGCTACAGGGACATACATGTCCTTCCCCTTCAACCCTCAATTTGAAGTCCAATACAAATCAAAATATCCCATGCACACAAATACACTTCACAGTTTCAAATTCTGCGGAAAATTTCCTGTTTCTTGATACCATCCACTATTATTTTAGACAAAGCCTAAGTGCTGAAAATGACCTTTCAAAATAGGCTTCATCGAAAATGTCGGCATTTTTGTCACAGTACAAAATCGCGATTCACAGCGATATTTGCTGTGTTTTGAAATGTGAAAATCAGATAATTACTGGGAGTATTGAATTTCAAAAATAACATATTCATGATCACTGATATCAGTTTTACATGAATCGCTAATGATAATTCTGAAACTTTGCCGATGATTCTAGAATCGGGTTGGAATGTTTTCAAAATACACTTCACATCTAACGCCATAGGCGCTTCATATATTGTATAGTGTTTACAAAATCACGCGTTCAGCGAAGGCTGGTATTGAGACGCCTATTACATCACGTATATTTCATTTTCATCTTCGAAAAATGCATCACTGAATTCCCCATATCTTTTAGAATCAAATTACAAATGGTCTTTGTCACCAATACCAACTGTCTAGATAAAATGAGACGAAACATAATGGGTGTGAAAACGAACGCTGTGCTCGAAAGACTGCGCTTGTTTGAAATGTAAACAAAGACAAATTCCGATTTTACACTGCGTAGCATTTTCTGAAATTTTCCAACATTCATCCATCTATTCATTGCTTGCAATGGTTCAATACCTTTGGAATATGCATGGAAAGAGTATCGTAGCAAGAAATAGGAAATTATTAATAGATACAATGCAATGATTATGTAATTCATAAGAAATTGTTAAAGTTTCGTTAGCGTGGCGTGGCCATGGCTGAACGACAACGGAGCGATTATCTGTAATTTCTGGCTTTCTGGCTTCTTACTTATAATGAAAACGATAAAAACATATAACAATACACAGATAGTCAGAATCATTCTGATTACTTACATCTCATATTTATGTACAAACGATCCATGAATCAATGGAAGGGTCCTCGCAAAATCCTGTGTACCCTTGTCAGCAAAGCCGCCATTTTGTAAGAAATCGGTCATTGGTAGTGATGTCATACGTCAACATTGTTGTACATATTAGGCAATTTCTTTGAGGTGAAGGTCGGTTGAACAAGGGTAAACACATTAGCCCAATCCTTCCAATTATACTTTCAGTATTATGATGTATATTTTGCGTGTAGTTAAGATATTTTTTCATGAAACTGACGTTTCATACGTGCATGTAGGGTTTACTGTGTTTTATTCTTTGAAAGTTTTTGATTGTTTGAATAATATACTGAACATCATTGAAAAGGCACCACCTGTAAATTTTGAAATATGGTAATAAGATTGTTTAGAGAGTGAAAATGAATGTTGGAAATGTTGTTAATAACACAAAATACAATAAATATTGCTGTACAGTAAAGAACAGATTGCCCGAACCCATCATGGAACACATCACATGACAACAACAAAATTCATGCATGCCAATAATAAATGCGTAAAGCATGCTGATTTGGGGTATAAATGACCGTCGGCAAAAAAACGTTCTCATTTTAGCTGTACCTCCACAAGTAAAGTTTATTTTGCAATGCCAAGATTGTCATAAGAGGAACGAGAACGGGCGTTGGGCATGTTTCAGGATGGCATATCAAGCAGGATTATTGCCAGACAATTTGGTTGCCATCATTCCACCGTCATAAGACTTGCCAACAGGTACCAACAAACAGGAACCACCGGGGACTGCCAACGTCCTGGCCAGGCATGTGTTACCACCCCTCACCAAGATCGAGACATTGTTCGGCGCCCACGCTGTCATCAGTGCTTCTACCGTCCAACGCCGTCTCCTGGTGGCAGAACCATCCAACGCCGTCTCCGTGGCAGGATTACCCTTATGTTGGACCCATCCTGACTGAGAGACATCGCCGCGAACACCGACGATGGTCTGAACAGCATCGTTTGTGGTTGTTACGACGTTGGCATGGTGTTGTGTTCTCCGACGAGTCACGTTATCACTTGAGAAATGCTGACGGGCGTCTGCGGGTATGGCATCGACGCGAAGAACGTTACCATCAGGACTGTGTTGTGCAAACAGATCGGTGGGGTGGAGGCAGCATTATGGTGTGGGAGGGATCAGTTATCATCACAAAACCGCTCTGGTAGTTTGTCGTGGCAGAGTGAATGCCCTTTACTACCATGACACCATTCTTCAGAACAACGTCGTTCCTTCTTTAACCAACATAAAGATCTGCACACATTCCAGCAGGACAATGCTCGGCGCTACACTGCGTGTTGCAACACAGTTTCTGGCAAACAACAACATTCCTCTACTTCTCATGGCCTGCATTGTCACAAGCGTCTTCTAGATTCATTTGTCTCCCATTGAACACTTGTGGATTACATCGGCCAAAAACGCCTCTATTAAATAAAATATTACCAGCTTTAAACTTATGTGAATGAATAAGAGATAGAATGTGCCCACAGATCAACAACCTTGGGAACTTGAGAATGCCTTTGCAACACATAGTGGAAAATGCATTGCCTCAAAACATTATTCAGAGACTTCAACAACCTTTGGGAACTTGAGTCTCACGGTGGTCATACACTTTACTGACTTTCCAATTTGACTCCATCTTTCTTTCATGGTCAGCTGAATTAAAACTTCACTGTTTTGCTGGATTGGTTCTTGTTTCTTTTCTTTACCAATCATTGGACTACAAAAGTATGTAAAATTTACACCGATTGCTCATTTATGCTCTTGGAAATCCAAACTAATACAGGTGGTGCATTTTCAATGATGTTCAGTATATTTACATAAGAAATTGACACATTTAGTGCAGTTCACCATATTCTAAACCTTTACACAAGTGTTAGACAAGCATCTACTTTAGTTCCTATGATGTACAAAATTCAATGCATTTGGACTAATATTGCAGTGTCATATGAACAGGTTAATGAACGGCGATTTAATTCAACCTTATAAGTAAAACTGATAATATTAATGAAAATGATTTATATATGTTATGAAATATATATGCACACATATTTAAAGGAATTGTCTTGTTCATTGCATATTCCTGTGTAGTTTAGGTGCGCGTTTGTCGGAAACGTTTTATGATTCACTATCATTTCGATAATATAATCAATTCATATTCGATTAAAAGTATTGTGATGACAGGATATCAAACTCTAACTATATTTATACGAAAATTGTTTAAAAATATATAAACCATGTCATGTGTTAATTTGGACAAATCTTCCATCCATTATTTTAATATATAGTTCCATGTATAAAAAGCTATCTTATTGCATCTTTCATTGCATACTTATGAAGAGAAAAAGCTACATAATCATAAACAAAGAAAATTCTTATCCTAAACAAAATATTTGGGTGTTGTGAAATATTATTTTTCATTTACGTTAAATTGATGCCAAACATGTCAAACCGTCAAACAGCTCACAATAATATACACGGTCAAACCGTCTGATTGTTGATATATTAAGGCCACTATTTAAATGGAAAAATCAGTCATTATATGTTTTGTCTGAAGAGTGTTAAATTCTGACATAGAAGCCGAGACCTTTAATACAATTAATGGAAATTAGGTGAGATATACTAATCAGCATACCAATGTCGTCTTTTTTTTTCCAGCAATTTCGTAAAATCATAGCACAGTGCTTTTATTGGTGCGTGATAAAAAGTGGAGAAATTTACTGTTTTTTAACGCATAACAATAACATTCAGCAAGGTCTATTTCTCAAACTGCCGAGGTAGTTGCACTTATATTTATACCAACGGATAGGAAATTTAATATTCTACATTTCTGTGTAATTTTATAGCCGTACGTAGATCCAGGACCACGCGAGCGCAATTCTCGCACAACGTACACTTTTCAAACCATATGAAAATGTGCGCCGGAAAAAACCCTTAGCATCCAGGGGGGATATACACCATAACTCCCAGCATACATCACAACTCTCAGCATGCATCACATTTCACAGCATACACCATAACTCCCAGCATGCATCACATTTCACAGCATACACCATAACTCACAGCATACATCACATTTCCCAGCATACACCATAACTCCCAGCATACATCACATTTCACTGCATACACCATAACTCCAAGCATGCATCACAACTCTCAGCATACATCACATTTCCCAGCATGCATCACATTTCCCAGCATACACTATAACTCCCAGCATGCATCACATTTCCCAGCATACTCTACAACTCCCAGCATGCATCACATTTCCCAGCACACACCACAACTAAGTATAGTGAAGAAATACAAGTTTTAAGGATTGATAACTTGTTCATTGCGATAGACGTTTCTGTGTAGATGCTAACAGAGTTTTCAGGCTACTTGCTTGACTGGCTTCTTTAAACTTATGTAAATGTGGGAGACAATGAGTGAACACCTGATTGCTATTTTCAACTTTGTTTACTAGAAAACACCTTTGTACTCTTAATCTTTGCAAGTGAATGCCAAGCAGGAAATGCAATTAAAATGGTAAAAAATCTTGTGAAGTAATGCTTTGTCATATGTTTCACGTTTTTATTGTTATGCAATTGCCTGTACAAAATTTTAAATCAAATGTTTTGCTAAAAGGAAAAGTTGATGTTGGTGTACTATTGTACATGCACCATAGGCTTTACATCTGTTAATGGTTCATAGGATATTGAAGACATGGGGATCGGATTATATAATCAGCGGATACACAAAAGAGTTACTATGTGTATGCTGTATGTTGTTGCAGGTGTACTGTGTGATGCTATATGATTATGCAGGTGTACTGTGTCTAAAGCTGTAGTTTGTTGCAAGTGTACTTTGTTAAAGGTGAAGTGTGTGTAATGGTGGATGTCATTACAGGTTATCTGGTTTCTGGGTCTCCTCGTCTGCTCCAATATGACTGCCTTCGTCGTGTCCCTGGCATTCGAGTCCCCCATGATGGGTTTGGAGAAGGCATTACTGAAGAGGGAGAAGAGCAGCTAATGACAGCAGACGTGTCACCATGGAAACCAGCCATTGGTGAAACTTCTCTAGACATTATATGTAAATCTTCTTCTGTAGCCTTTGACTGAAGAATCTGTTATCTATGATGACAAAGCTTTAAACTAGCAAATGTAATTTCTTGATTTAATAGGTTCAGTTTAATTAGGCACATACCATATTTAGAGTACAAGTGTCCACTCCTGTAGGTACATCTCCTACCTTACGTTAAGCTCCCTTCATTTCAATGGACAAGTTGTTACAGCGTAAGATCGTTTCCATCAAGTCTACATATGTTATTGTATTACGGGCTATTAGTGTGTTGGGAATAATCTTTGGGAAATTTTTAAGCTGACCATAAAGATGATGGAGGACATTGAAGGTCAAAGGTCTTTCAGTGTGAAATTTGTTCACTACAGCTTGAATTTTCACAATCATGCCTAAACCTTTTGGTGACTGTCTGAAGCTGAAGGTCACAAAAGGTGACATGAAAAAATATATCTCAAATATCAGGGAATATATATAGTGATATATAGCACATTATTTACCTATTTGTGAAGACTAATAATAGCATTATCATGGTTGTGGAAAATGCCAGGATCACTTTGAAGATTATTCACTCATAAAATGTGACTGGTGGCTGTTTGAACCAAAGACACATGAGATCATATAACATGAGTCTTCTTGGTGGCAATATGGCCTAACATGGCTTTCAAGATCACAACAGATCCTGGTATGAAAATGGCAGTAAACTCAGGTATCCTGTTCACCTTTTTGATTTCTTCATAATAGATTACACCTATTTTCAAGGTCATGTCAAATGTCAATGTCATGTACACAAAGAAATCTTTATTATCAATAATGGTTCCTGGAGGCAGCTGTATGTGACTTCCTTTGATTGTTAGTGTAACAGCATCTATTTTCGGATTAGAGTTGACTTCTGATAAATATTCAGAACATTGTTATTATTTCTTGGGCAAACATTTTGGGGGCATTTGAGATTGGGACACTTCATTTTTTAATGCAAACATCTTCCTAATCTAAGCTATAGAATCACAGTTTCGACTAAACAGATCATAATGGATGATGAGAAAATTGTCTCTTACAATGACACTCCAGTACAGATAAATCATATTTTATCATTCACATTTTTAAAGATATGTTGTTTTTACACAATCCTGATCTTAAATCATGCCTGATTTGTCTTGTGATGTATTATAAAATGTGTCTGTATTGTCAGAACAAGAAATCCCAGATAGGCTACCTCTTAAGGTTTACATATGACAGTACTTAAGTTGCATTCTTCCGATTGTCTTAACATGTGCCAACCAGTATACTAATGTACAGTGTGTCAAATCAGGAAATACACCTACTGTTTTTAGAATTGATCTTGTCAGACTGTAGGATCTGTTGTCTATTGCTTGCTATCTAGATCTGATGTCATCTCACTGTTACTCTCTCCAGTGTCAAATCATCTTCAGTCACAGCTGATTCAGTGCTTAATATAACTGGAATTGAGTCAGTTAACTCTGTTAACTCTCATATTCATTAGACAGAAGCCCTAAGTTCAGACTCGTATAGAGTTGAGAGGTCAAACCGTAGAAGGAAACCTCTGGTCCATTTCACCTCATTGGATCTCATGTCATGTTGTCCCCGATCTGTCCAGTTATGTGCATGATATCCAATTATAGTGTAAAGTATCCCCAAAACATTCCTATACTCTCCTATTTTAAAGATGGCTGCCATTATTTCTTAACGCCAAAGTTAGCTACAGAGTCTTTCAGCCACACTTTCTCTGAACCTCCTATGACATTCGGGACAGGGGGTTAGCCTAGTGGTTAAAGCGTTCGCTCGTCATGCCGAAGGCCCAGGTTCGATTCCCGACATTGGTACAATGCGTGAAGCCATTTCTGGTGTTCCCCGACATGATATTGCTGGAATATTGCTGAAAGCGGCGTGAAACTAAACTCACTCACTCACTCCAATGACACTGATGCAACTTTCCCTGAAAGTTTTTGCTGATAAAATAAAGATATGCAAAGTTTTATATACGTTTCTTCAGGACATAAAACTTCAGGGTCTTACTCGTAGCTTTATTATCAATATTGATGGCATGTTAATTGATATTGCTCAAATCCTGCTGTCCTGTTCAAGCCAGGAGAGTGCTGACCTCAAAGATAACAATGTTTATAAATAGTTTTACTCTTCATCTGAATGATTTTATCATCACTTTTCATTTTATTCCATGTTGTGCCATCATCCGCATTGTCTTAACTCAGCAGAACGCTGCTGTATAATATCATTACCTTTCACCTCTAACCTTTTATCTTGAACTTTTAACCTCTGACCTTTCATCTTGAACTTTTAACCTCCAACTTTTCACCTCTGACCTTTCACTTCTTGGATTGTCAGAGACACATTCAGGATATTGCTTCTTAGAATGTGCTTTAAATAATATAACATGACCATTTTTATATATCACATGACTTTTTGGTTTGACCTATCACAAACCTAGCTACCTTATTACGTTGTGTCATCTATTGCCTTTTAGTTTGATCTTTCAAAAACCCATATTCATTACAAACCTAGAAACTTTTAAAATTTCAATAGGAAATCATGTATTGGAAAATGTACAGCTTTTCTGTATCTGTTGAAACTGAGTTGTGGTTCCTCTTGTTTACCACTGTTTTGGTGGAGATGTGACTTTTGTCAGTGTTTTATGGTTTTAGATATTTCAGTAAGTGTTTTTGTCCACGTCAACTCTGATATACAAATGACACAAATTAGTCTGTGATCAAACCTGCAGGCATTAAAACATTTGGCCATGTAGGAACTTTTTTTATAAACTGAGGTGTCTGCATTTGTGCCAAATAATTGATGTTTTATTTAGGTCCATGTCTATTTAATCATTTACTATAAAGATCTGCCTGTTACTTTTAATGCAGCCTCTGAATATGTCACACGTTTACAACCTTTACAACTTGCCAACTGAACATACATATGGACTATGTTTGTATGACTGCCATGTTGTGAAGAACATGAGAACATTTTGTACCTTGGACATTCAGTAATAACTTTAGTCTTTGGGGATTTATTTAATCTCAAAGGATATACGATCTTATGGTATTTCTCCTGGTTTTTTTGGTTTAGATATATGTTATGGTTTTTCTCCTGTCTTTTTTTTGTCCCCCGCTGCAGCGCGGAACAGACAACTATGTATTCAGCAGTGTCCGTACGTCTGTCCATCCGTACGTACGTCCCGATTCTTGTTTAAGCGATATCTCATGAACTGTTGTACCCAGTGTCTTCCAATTTGGTGACAACCTACATTGGGGGATTACACAGACACCAGTTGATTTGGGTGATCTTGATCTTATCTTCAAGGTTACCACGACACCTCGACAACTTTTCAAATTTATGTAAACACGTTGTCTCATAAAACATTGTACCCTATGTCTTTAAGTATGTCGACAGCATACATTGGGTGACTATGCAGACACCAGTCATTTCAGGCATCTTGTATGTGACCAAAACATAAAAAGTTGAAAATATTTTATAACTATTTCATTCTTCTTTAGCGGGTGGACATTGCCATATTAGTGTCAAACACTTGTTTTATTTTTTTTATGTTTGAGAGATAGTATGTTGCCAAATATTTCACAGCAATGTTTCAAATTTTGTGTTGAGTTGATATTGTTGGAAATTGATTGTGTTTACTGTAGGCAGGTGCAGTGGGGTAGCCTAGTGGTTAAAGCGTTCGCTCGTCACGCCGAAGACCCTGGTTTGAGTCCCCACATGGGTACAATGTGTGAAGCTCATTTCTGTGTCCCCTGCTGTGATGTTGCTGGAATATTGCTAAAAGCGGTGTAAAACCCAACTCACTCACTCACTACTGTGGGCAAATTGTAACTGGCATGTGATATATAGTCTTTGATTGAATAATATATGTACCTACAAACACATAACCTATATGGCACACAGTTTATCTAGAGCTATTTTCAATCCACCTTAGTGAGTATGATTAATATTTGCTGGTCGTTATAACTGTGCCATGTTTATTTGTCTGTCTTTTGTCTCGTACGTTTAGTCAGGATTGCTTTATTATTATAGTTTACACAACTTTCATATGAACAAGTCAGTTTTTTCTGGATTCCAAGAATCAATTTTATCCTAAATAATGAATTTCTCTATAAGAGCTTTCCAGTGTTTTATGTTTGTTTCCACTCTCGGTTGGTTGTATTTATATTGTTTCTCTCTACACTCTTAAGTGTTTATATTTATACTGCCTTTCTCAGCTGTTAGTTGTATATATTTATGCTACTTTTCTCCATGCTCAGTAGTTTATATTCATGTTGCTTTTCTCCACTCTCAGTAGTTTATATGTATGCTGCTTTTCTCCACTCAGTAGTGTATGTTTATGTGGCTTTTCTCGTCTCAGTAGTGTATGTTTATGTGGCTTTTCTCCACCAGTAGTTTATGGTTATGCTACTTTTACTTAACTCTCAGTTGATATATCTATGCTAATTATACTGCTCCATATGTTTACCAGAGACAGAATCCTTCCCCAGTGTTTCTGACAGCTAGAATCTTTCCACAATTTTTATTTGCATTTTTCTAGCTGTACTTCTCAGTGCTTGAGAGCAACATACATATAAGGTTACAACCATTTTGTATTCTTTAGAGATGGAGATGGGGATATTTGTTGTTGTTACTTAATATTTTTTTCAGCCAGTTGTTTAATGTTTTACTCTGAAGATAGAAGCCAAACTGGTGCTTTGGACACCAGGCACCACCTTCAGAGTCAAGAAATACATGTCTAGGCATCTGCTGTTCATAGCTGTTAACTTGTCTTTCCAGCAAGATGTACTTATAGTTTTCAAGATTTATTGTGTCATAGTTTGTGTATGCAGTTCAATTATATTTCACAATAAAATATTTTCCTCTTGATACTTTTCTGTATTATGTGCATAGAGCTCAGGTCACAAATCAATTGAAGTTAAGCAACGTTTGAAAGTCCTTGGATTGGTGACCGTGTTTGGCAGCTTGACTCCTGAGAGTTTCTAGGACTTCAGTCCTGCCCCACAACGAAGCACATGTGATATATGTGGTCTCACCTTAGTAGTTTATTCAAACATTGCCTCTGTTCACCGAGTAGAAAATGGGTACCTGGTGGGATAAGTCATGTGACTATTAACCTTCTAGCGCCTCACAAGCAGCTTGAGTTATCCGGGGTAATAATAATCAGATTGTGTGCTTTGAGCATCCTTTGTGCGCTTTGAGCAGCATATGAAACCTGGAAAGGCACATTATAAATATTTTTAATTATAATTAATTATTCTACCATGACTTCAGTAAATACTTGATTGTGATTGGTTAATTAAAGTCATTCAGATATATATAATCACATTATATACCTCTGATTTTCCAACACAGTATGTTTATCTCCTAATTATGTTGTTTGGTTTGCTTAATTAACGTCATACTGACTACACAGTCTGCAACAGGTTTACACTGCATGAGAGCAGTTTGTTTTCACATGTGGGAATATAGTTATAAATGGGTTTCTATTCTGCTGACTCTGAAAGATGACAATATGAAATGATAAAATACATGTCTTTGATTTCACAGATGTCTATCAAAAAATGGGAGCATACAGTAATAAGTGAGTGAATTTTCGCGACTTTTAGCAACATTCCAGCAATATCAGGGCGGGGGACACCAGAAATGGGCTTCACACATTGTACCCATGTCAGGAATCGAACCCAGGTGTTTGTCTTGATGAGCGAACATTTCTTTCATTTTATTTACTGCACTTACCAACATTGATTTTTCCATTCACAAATAAAACCTACATAACTAAGCAGCAAAAGAAACATCAGTTTGGAATTTTCCTTCGCAGAAACGGATAACTGTAAACTCATTTAATGTTTTGATTGTATATTTTTGACAACATCTTTAACTTTACCTGAGCAAAGACATTCCTTCCCAAACTCAGAATGGAACCCAGGAAATGGTCTCAAAAACGTAACCTGATCTCGGAGATGGTACGGTGTTCTCCGTGTTTTCATGCAACTCATGCTACACGTGCTGTTCACAAGGACCAGCCCTATAAAATGCACCCCAAAACCTGGTTGAAACATTCACGTTACAACGTCAGCAGGATGCCACGACTCATGACAGCTCAGAGGAACCAGGCGCTATGAAGACTTGAAGCTGGCCACACTGCACAAGTCGTTGCCAATCACTTCTAGGTCAACGTTCGGACCACCTACAGTCTGCAGGAACGTTTCCGGGCCACCAACACCACAAATGATCGCCCCCGTACTGGCAGACCAACGGCGACCACAAGACGACAAGACTGCCATCTTGTGCGACAGCATGTACAGAATCCCTTCATGCAGACATCCGGAAGACAATCAGTACTGATACGCGCCGACGAACAGCGGGAACACATTGCTGTAGACCAATCAGTGGATTGATACTCACCCTCCGATCGGCGTGAACAGTCTACAGTTTGCCCTACAACACTCCAACTGGCGATACGTGGAGACCTGTTCCGTGGACAGATGAGAGTCGGTACTGCGTATCAACTGCAGATGGCAGAACAAGAACATGGCGACGCCGTGACCAGCGTTACTCAGACCAATGTGTTATGGAAAGAGACTCATGGGGGAGGTGCAAGCATCATGGTAAGGGGTGGAATAGGCCTGAACCAGAGAGTGCGTCCTGTGGTGTTCCAGAACCTTGGTCCAGGGAGAGGAGGCGGCATCACAGCGGTGCGCTACATCGACCAAGCTCTCAGACTCCACGTCATACCACATTTCGCACGTCACTGGAACAACATTTTCCAGCATGATAACGCCCGGGCCCATACTGCCAGAGCTACACGGGGCTTCCTACAGCAGAACGGTTTAGTCCTGATTTACCCAGTTGAACATCTTTAGGATGAAATTCACAGGAGACTGAATAATGTTATACCAAGGCCGAACACAGCCGATTTACTGCGCCAGGCCTTTCTCAGAGTGTGGTTCAAGGTGCCAATGGCCTTCATCAATCGATTGGTGCACTCCATGCATAGACGCTGTGCTGCAGTTACTGCCGCTCGTGGTGGTCACACTAGATACTGAAGTCAAGAGTCTGAATGGACTGCAAACGTTCACGTTCATGTCTTGAAATTGTGCTGAATTATTCATTGATGTGTCAAGATATTGTACACAAAAAACGTTTTTGATCCGCTTATTATGTCCATTTCTGTAATGATTTGATTACAGTGCCTATCTAATTTTGAATTCGTACTGACGTTTTGTTTGCTGCTGAGTATATATAAAAAGGCCCGAATTGAATTACAAATAAGAAATAGAAAAAAAAGAAAGATTGGAGATGAGCAGCTTCATCATATATATATTGAGTTAAAACGGCACCTTGTCTGCCAACACATCTATGCAAATCAAACAAAAGACTGCACTCGGTTGGTAAGAAAAACTCCCAAATGAGTCTATTTTCAAAACTTTCCATGTTTTCTTGATTTGGAAATATCGATGGAAAGAACATTCTTCACACATCAGGAAACTTTGGAAAGATCAGCATATCCTGTTTAATGGATTATTTCATCTGCTTATTAAGGCAAATATAATGAAATATATTTAAGGCGTCCAGGCCATATACAGAGGAGTTACATATAAGTAGTTTTACATATTCAGATACATAATAATGTTTCTCAGAGAATTTGCATTTTTAACATATATGACCAGCTTTATCTTTTGAAGAAAGAAGAAAAATTGAAGCGGATACTGGGTAATTTGACAGATGTTAGTCTGGTATATACCTGTTTCTTAGATAACAATAAAATGGACATACAAAAGGCAAAATGAATTTAATTTTCAATAGCTAAATGACAATGGATATAACCTCTTAGATCTTTCAGTGGACAGTTTTCTTCCTTCATTTATCATGAGATCTAACAATCAAAGTCTAAATTGAATAAATGGAGTCTAAGTGTTTTTGATGTTAATATAGATAAGTATTTTCTGGTTGAAGAAGACATTTGAAAGCTCAGTACAAGTCATGCCTAGAACTATGTGTGGAATACCATTCTTGGTAAAACATATGTATAGAGCGTTGTTTCAAAATGAGTTGAACATCACCAACTGTTGTATTTAATCATACAAAGCAATAGGACATAACAGTGTTTACGACATAGGAGAGGAGATTAGATGGGTCGGTAGCTACCGTTCTGGTTGACCCACCACAAGGAAAGAAAGCACTGATGTCGTCTGCGACCTGGAATTGAACAATGGCTTTACCCTCCCAGAGTTAGGGAGACCACACCCTTCTGTATGAGCGTCAATGGCGGATAAGTAATCTTTGACAATGTATTATTTTGCGTTTGTGTTTGTCTGGTTTTCTTGGTTGTTGTTGGTACCAGCTGATGCCCTAGGTTCGCCGAGGTCTGATCCAGATAGGTAAACATCCGTGTGTATGAATCCTCGGTTCGGTCTGACATGTCAATACACGAGTGGCAACACATGTCCTTGGAATTCAGCATGGATGGAATATATCTGGTCGAAGAGCCTAGGGCATGTTGAGAAAGTCCCTACAGACGATGTAAGAATCTTTCCCCTGCCTCTGTCCTGGCCCACTTGTCCTGTAGATCGATGTTCTGTAAGGTCTGGGGCAGGCTTGGTACTGTCTTGTGTCTCTGGCGGTACATATTCGTCCTCGTGGCATCGTACATGGAATCAGCCTCAGAAGGGTGTTAGGTGCTACATCTGGGGTTCTCCGCAACTTGGTAATTTCATCTTGGTAGATCTGAGGAATAGGGGTTGTAGCGTCAGATCTGGCCCGATCGTGGAGCTTCTCGTGACTTATATTCACACACGACACTAATTGCTTTAACTCAATAACCGAATTACTAAGACAATCCTAAGTCATGAGATTCGAGCAAAGGATTATCATTGACTTTGTTTTGTTCTTGAAAAGTAAAAAAAAATATGTCTAAACACTAATGATATACTCACTGGATTGTAATAAGTTCAAAGTTATTTACTCTCAAAACATCACTACTTGATATATAAACACTAACCGACAAAACAAAAGTGAGCCAAAGGGGTACCGCACAAGTAGAACCTATCAGTTCACAGGCAATTACTCTCAAAACATCACTACTTAATAAGCTAAACACTACCCGGGAAGTCTCCAAAGCGGGACTCAGTTTGTCGACTTCCCGGGATAACTGAAATTTCATTTGTCGACTTCCCAGGCGGACAACTTATAGAAAGGGTGCATCCCTCCACTTCCTCAAATAGCTGCATCCGCCCCCTCAACATCTACATATGTAAAAGGTTTAGATTCTATGCCCAAATGGTTCCTAGAATACCCTAGGATGAAGGGTATTGGTGTGATGAAGGCTGTGCGTTTCAGAACTCCAGGATTCAATGGCAACAAGGTCGATTTTCACTTCAGTCAGTGAGTGAGTGAGTTATTATTAAACGTCACATCGGCAATATTGCAGCCATATCATGACGAGAACATATTTGATTTTGAAGTGGAATATATGTATATTATAAAAACCTGTCGTCGAAGGACAGTAAAACAACTAGAATATCACAATTAGAATAAAAACTAGCGTTTAGAGTTTAAAACTAATAGCACTATTGGGACAATACAATATAAAAACAGGCTAAAGATCGCCAACAACAGAAGGTAGACCACCATACTAGGGACCATGGGGACTTACAGTACCTTTGCTACCTGCAAGGACCCCTAGCTGGATTTACAACATCCATTCAGCCGCTGGCGATTGTAGGAAAATTTAGCCGGAAGTTAAAATAACAAAAATAATACGAGCAAAATGTGGTAAATTTACATCTTACTTTGAAAGTTTTGGGACTTATGTACCTTTTCACTTCAGGTACGTGACAGCAGGTCAGACTCTAATCCATCACA